GCTCTGAAGCAGTGTTGCCAGATTGGATGGATGATTTCCAGCCCAAAAGCTCACAAAAACCCGCCCAAAACTTTAACTGTCAAAATAATGTGATGGAATATGTAAATCAAGGTTGATAAGGGCCATTTTTAACTCCTTAAAACAAAATAATGTTGACAAAATAACTTGCATAACGTTAGATAAATTTCCCAGGTAAACGGATTGAATCGGGGCAAATAGCCTACATTAAAGGGAATTAGGCTACTGAACATGAATAAAATATTCAAGCAGACACTGTCAAAACGGCAATCAGGAAATGCATCATTTTGAACGTCAGCAGTCAGAATAATCCAATTTAAATGCAAAAAGTGCCCAATATAAGTGATAGGAAAAAGCAACGTTGCAGGTATTTCACGTTCACGCACACACCATGACAGTCAAAACTGTCTTTCATTGATAGGCTACATACTGAATTATAATCCGACAATTTAAAAAAATTATAATAATAATAAAAATAATGCGCTTACCTTCGTGTCGCTCTATAATTTTACACAGAACTGGAAGCCTCTTGTTAAGTTAATAAAATATAAAAGACAGGACCGTATAAACCGACATATTTAGTTTCGGTTTTGATTAATTCATTCAAATGTGCTTAGATTTCGGAGTTGCAGTGATAGAGCCTTCGTGTCATCTCACTCCACAATAATTCAAGTTTTGAGAGTTGAGTCACTCTCTCACTCTTTAACTTATATTTAGGCATTGTGATTACTTGAATATAGTCACTACATTCAAAATCAGATACGTTATAACTTATCACGCTAAAAACTTGTCACTCATGAATCATAACGTCTGTCTGCTGAGCCCTAAAAACTCTAAAAATGTTTTTTTTATTGGTCTTATGAAGTATTCTAATTTGTTGAGATAGTGAATTGGTGGGTTTTTGTTAAATGTGAGCCAAAATCATCACAATTAAAAGAACCAAAGACTTCAACTACTTCAGTCTGTGTGCATTGAATTTATTTAATACACGAGTTTCACAATTTGAGTTGAATTACTGAAATAAATGAACTTTTCCACGACATTCTAATTTATTGAGATGCACCTGTATATGATTGGAAACCGCCAAACTGACCCCAAACCAGCCCAAATTTTGTCCACCCGCCCAAGCCAATTTTTACCCGCACAATCAAATTCAAAACTGCCCAATTGGGCGGGAACCCGCCCAATCTGGCAACACTGCTCTGAAGCCGCAAGCGCTGTGTCTACTTCTCTTGAATTGCATCCAGGAGAGCTGAATTACATTCTTGCGCTACAGCGCCACACTGGTCAAACTGCATTATTGCAGGCTCTTACATTAGGTCATATGAGATCAAACGACTACTCGACAACAAAAATATTTGTCGACAATTTTGCAAAAAAATGTCGACTAATCGTTTCAGCCCTAGTGGCTACCCACATGTTTAGCGGTTGCTATGGAGTGCTAGGTGGGGGTTTGTAAAGAGTTCTGAGCGTTTGCTAGGACGTGTCTAGAAGGTTGCCTAGGTGTTCTGAGTGGTTGCTATGGCATTCTTTGGTGTTTGCCAGGGTGTTCTTTATGGTTATAAAAACATTGTTTGATGGTTGCTTGGGTGTTCTGGGTCATTTCTAGGCGGTTTGCTTACTGGTCTGTAATATTGTGTTTTCTAAATATAGTTTTTAATCATCTGCCAGGTCAGTATCATAGATCTGATTGCTTAAGAATGTCATAACACACCTCTTGTCAACAAACTATGTTTTGAGGTAAATTATGTGACTTATGTTATGTGCCGAGCTATGCTAGTCTTGCGTTTGTGTGCATGTGCTTAATCTGCATGTTTAGTGCACACCGTTTATTCACACATGCATAGATGACTTCATCTGCGCGTATATGTACATGTTTAGAAGAACGCCGGCAAAAACTGCAGCATGTCCCACTGGCAATGTTTTTGATAATTACTGCGTGAGTTTGCGCATGTAGCCCATTTCTTCTTGATGTTTCAATAATGTCAAATTTGCCTGAAAAACAGCACACACAGGAAAAAGCATTTTGAATGAAGCATGTGATGACAGCCCTTTGTTGTCATGGTGATCTCGCCAGCGCTTTAATTTGTTTTGTGTCTCTCAGCCAGATAGAATTGCATGAAAGTATGTTGGCTGTAACCTTCAGGCTGCCAGACCTCCCCTCACTTACCGCTGTGTGTCCTAATTAAGCTTTGTTTTACACACTGACTGCCAGCGTGAACGGCCGGCTGGATTGTTTGGGATACGGAATCCAAATTCTGGCGCACAGGGAATGTGTTTTTAAAAGACGTCTAGACTGATTTGTGCCGTGTATTATCATATATTGCAGGCATCCCTGGGGTTATTGATTTACTGGACTGGGCTTCAGTATAATGAAAACAGTGAGGAATGTTTTCATGACATGCATGCTTTGTGCCGTGCATTAAATAGCACATTTTAAGCTTGTTACTTCTGAAGGTTTCATACACTCAGGTTCACCTTTCAACTGTTGTCGTAATTATTTATAAATATTAAATTATGGTAATACTTCACTTGAAGCCTAATTAAACAATGCGATATCTAGGCAAGGAAATTTGATTTATATAGCACATTTAATAAACAATGCTAATTCCAATTGCTTTACATAGGCATGAAAAAAAAAGTTTAAATGATGTTACATTAAAAATAATGTAACATCACATGTTTATTTAAATTGGACTAAGCAAATAAAAGAATATGAGAATAAAAGAATTAAAAATATAATATATAAATAGCCAGTAAATATATTAAGGAAGAAAAAAAAAGTAATATAATTATATTTTGTTGTTGTTGTTGTTCTTGTTGTGTGTATACACTTTATATTTATACTTGTCTATCTATCTATCTATCTATCTATCTATCTATCTATCTATCATTGTCATTTTAGTGGTTGCTATGGCATTCTTTGGTGTTTGCCAGGGTGTTCTTTATGGTTATAAAAACATTGTTTGATGGTTGCTTGGGTGTTCTGGGTCATTTCTAGGCGGTTTGCTTACTGGTCTGTAATATTGTGTTTTCTAAATATAGTTTTTAATCATCTGCCAGGTCAGTATCATAGATCTGATTGCTTAAGAATGTCATAACACACCTCTTGTCAACAAACTATGTTTTGAGGTAAATTATGTGACTTATGTTATGTGACGAGCTATGCTAGTCTTGCGTTTGTGTGCATGTGCTTAATCTGCATGTTTAGTGCACACCGTTTATTCACACATGCATAGATGACTTCATCTGCGCGTATATGTACATGTTTAGAAGAACGCCGGCAAAAACTGCAGCATGTCCCACTGGCAATGTTTTTGATAATTACTGCGTGAGTTTGCGCATGTAGCCCATTTCTTCTTGATGTTTCAATAATGTCAAATTTGCCTGAAAAACAGCACACACAGGAAAAAGCATTTTGAATGAAGCATGTGATGACAGCCCTTTGTTGTCATGGTGATCTCGCCAGCGCTTTAATTTGTTTTGTGTCTCTCAGCCAGATAGAATTGCATGAAAGTATGTTGGCTGTAACCTTCAGGCTGCCAGACCTCCCCTCACTTACCGCTGTGTGTCCTAATTAAGCTTTGTTTTACACACTGACTGCCAGCGTGAACGGCCGGCTGGATTGTTTGGGATACGGAATCCAAATTCTGGCGCACAGGGAATGTGTTTTTAAAAGACGTCTAGACTGATTTGTGCCGTGTATTATCATATATTGCAGGCATCCCTGGGGTTATTGATTTACTGGACTGGGCTTCAGTATAATGAAAACAGTGAGGAATGTTTTCATGACATGCATGCTTTGTGCCGTGCATTAAATAGCACATTTTAAGCTTGTTACTTCTGAAGGTTTCATACACTCAGGTTCACCTTTCAACTGTTGTCGTAATTATTTATAAATATTAAATTATGGTAATACTTCACTTGAAGCCTAATTAAACAATGCGATATCTAGGCAAGGAAATTTGATTTATATAGCACATTTAATAAACAATGCTAATTCCAATTGCTTTACATAGGCATGAAAAAAAAAGTTTAAATGATGTTACATTAAAAATAATGTAACATCACATGTTTATTTAAATTGGACTAAGCAAATAAAAGAATATGAGAATAAAAGAATTAAAAATATAATATATAAATAGCCAGTAAATATATTAAGGAAGAAAAAAAAAGTAATATAATTATATTTTGTTGTTGTTGTTGTTCTTGTTGTGTGTATACACTTTATATTTATACTTGTCTATCTATCTATCTATCTATCTATCTATCTATCTATCTATCATTGTCATTTTAGCATTATTTCTATACTGTTATAGTATTAATATTATTTAATACTATAATAATTAATATTATTTTTGTATTTTTAAGTTTTAATTTTTGCAGTTTTAATATTAGATTGTTTTAATAATTTGATTATTGGCTTTCGTCATTTTGATTAGTTTTATGTTTTTCTTTTTTTATTTTCTATAGATTTATAATTTAATATTTCTATTTAGTGTTCATTTATTTTTATTTAAATTTTAGTTTTAGTAACAGTAGTAAATTTTAATAATAGTAGTATTTCGACTTAACCTGTTGCCAAGGCAACATTTCTCATTTTATTTTTATTGTCTAATATATATATATATATACTTTATTTTATTTTATTTCACCTTCAATTCCATTGCCGAATTAAATTTTTTTTTACATGTATGTAGTGTATGTATACTTCATCAGTCATGTATTATATATGTATGTATTGTTATTGTTTCTCTAAAATAAGTAAAATGTGTGTGTGTGTATAAATATTTATATGTATATATATATATACACACACACACACACACATTTTAATTTTCATTATTTTAAAACAAAATTATGCAAGGAAACAGAAAATACAACCCAGACTACATTAAATATACATGCATTTCATATGCAACGGGGATAAACGACGTTTGCAACGAGGTGCCGACCATCTTATTTTTTTTTTCTTTCTACAGAACTTCCATATGGCTGGGAGAAAATAGACGACCCTATTTATGGCAGTTACTATGTTGAGTAAGTTCTTCAGAATCCTTCTTTCAAATTTTTGTCGAATCTGACCCCAAATCATCCGCGTCATGCTCTTCAATAAGTGCGCCGAGGGAGGGAGGGTCCCAGCGTGATTAAATATCTGCTCGTTCTGCCCCGCAGCCACATTAACAGAAGGACACAGTTTGAAAACCCCGTCCTAGAGGCCAAACGAAGGATCCAACAGCAACAGCAAATGCAAAGTCAAGGTCTATCGGCGTTGCCATTGCCCACAATATATAGAGGTACTGCTTTTCTCTGTGGCCCATATATGCCATCTTCACCCAGGTGGTTTTATTGGTGTTTCTCGGTTTCGGGTTGATCAGGTGTGCCCTACTTTCACGTCACTTTAGCTTGACCGAAGCACCAAAGACCATACAGTAGAGATGGCTGTGCAGTGTGCTGTGTATTCCTCTGATAGTTTGTTTATTTGTCTTCACAGAAAAGCCTCCATTTACGAGGGACGCCACACAACTCAAAGGGACGTTCCTCACCACGGTGCTGCAGAAGAGCAATATGGGATTCGGCTTCACCATCATTGGTGGGGACGAGCCGGACGAGTTCCTACAGGTCAAGAGCGTCATACCTGATGGACCTGCTGCCCAAGATGGCAAGATGAACACAGGTGAGAAGCTCAAGGTTAACATATGTTTCATGTAGTGGTTAAACGGATCGTAGTTGATCCGTGATCCGTACGGACCAAGCCCCACGGTACGGCACGCATGTGATCCGCGGATTAATTGCAAAATTTAACCATAATAGAGTATAAGTTTATCATTTGTTCGTATTTACACAAGCAAGCGAATTTTAAACAATTCCAGAGAGAAAAGGCGAAAGGGAACTCGATTCATTACTCGCGCGCTGTTCTCTACGCGCACAGCCGCACACACACGGTGCGCGAACACCGAACTGAATCCTCTTCTGAATCCTCTGAACAGACACATACACATAAAATTATGGCAAAATACCCATCTCGACAATCATTCAGGTAAACGCAGTCAGTTATATCTCAAGTGAATGAAAACAGCTGAGAAAGAAATCGGATGTGAAGTGTATCATTATATCGGATCCGTGCATCAGGTCTTAAAGGGACAGCGGCCTATAAATACTGCTGCTGTCATTAATGATCATCAAACAACAAAACAGCTGTGATAAAAATCTATATTTAATTTATACAGTGAACACTATGCAGTGTTATTTTCCCTAATTATTACATTTCTGTATTTGAATACTACCAACCTTATTTTATTTTTAACATATTCGGTTGTATTTATCTATGCTTGTAATTTGTGCATTTGTTCTTATTTTTACTGGCTGTTCTCTTGTCTCTTTAATCATGTTTAAACTTCCTTAGTTAATCTAGTAGTATTTGCTGTGGTATCAAAGAAGTACTTCGCTTTAAGTAATAAATGGAAAGCAAGTAATATTTTTATTTTCTTGCTGATCCGAAAAATGATCCGATCCGTGGGTCAAAAACCGTAATGTGATCCGAATCGTGAGATTTGTGATCCGTTGAACCACTAGTTTCATGTTCAATGTGTTAATAATCTTGTATCATTCTTTATGTTTAAGTTTATGCTCTATTCTTGCAGAAGGTTGAATTTACATAATTTATGTAGTTGTTTTGATGTCAAGTGATTTATTCATATATATAAATATTATATATAACTATATTATTTATACTATTAACCCTTATAATTTAATATATTGTGATATTGTTTTGTTGTTATAACATTGTATGTATGTGTATGTGTAACTATATTATAAAATATTGTAAAATATATATATATGTATATATACTTGTAATATTCTATTTAACTATGTATAATATAATATAATATTATGTATTATATTAATATTATCTATTAATATAAAATATAATTTATATTTATTTTAAAATATACAATTTAAAATGATTTAAACAATTATTTTTAAATATATGCATCAAATTAATATTGTTTTATTGTCATTTTTTAATATAACAATATTGTTATATAATAATTGTATTATTATATAATATGTATAATAATGTGTAATATATAATATAATATGTTTCATCCACCATCTTGGGTAATGTTATTCCACTGATCTTGTCGTAGTGCATTCTGGGATTGGCCAAATGTTGGCCAATTAATCACCATAGTCAATATATATCAACTTATATAACTAGTTCACGTTCAGGTTAACTTTATTATTATTTATTTATTATATATATATTATTTATTTATGAATTTATCTGAGAGATATAAAATATAAAATCAATTCAGTGACACCTTTCCATTTTATTACCAATGATTGTCATGCCAACCATAGTTACTGTTTCTAAGGAAAACAAATAATGCCTGCAGGCCTAATTTTCCAGTTTCACTGGACTGTTTAGAATTATGAATTTAAAATTATGCCCGCTTTTAATACACTGGCCCTTATCGATATATATGCAGTGTTGAGCGGTGACCTCAGATCTCAGGAGAAAACCCTCAGTGTACAGGCTAGGAAACATCATTATCTCTGTAGCCAACGCTTGACAACAGTCCCTATAGCTTGCACAGAGCTAGCGCAAGGCCACGCTTGTCGCAGTGTGGTTTTCTGTGATGAAAGAGCGTCTTTGAGTGAGTCATCACAGGCTGACGCCATAGGCTTATTTGCTGCTTTTTCATAAGTTCTCTATTCCCATGTAGAGGAACTCTTAACCTAGTATGGGAAACTTGCGTCCTCGATACGACTCTACCTTTCTGGATGGCTTGTTCATTTCCTTGATCATGTGTTAACTTTGGAAGTGTATCACATATGTAAGTTCTGAAGATGACATCACTTCCCAAGGCCCTAACAGATAATGATGCTGGCAGTGACTTTATTTGCATATGCCTCCAGCTAGCGTTGCAATTTGGGCTTTGGTGGGATCTTGTGTGTTTTATCTGCTTTTGATGGGGGGAACGGGGTCCTTTTATAGACGTCCTACTCTATTCCGCACACACATACACAGTTGGCTTGATTCAATAGTTTTAACAGGCCTCAGGTTGCCTTTATTACTGAGAAGCCTCATTATCGGCCAGCTTTGCTGATAGCTTGCTCGGTTGGTGTCTACAACTGTCTGCACTAATGCAATAAAACCTTTTGTGACTTTAATCTGAAATTATATGATTTAGTAAACATTCGGTTCAAAGAATGTCTATTTTATTAACCCTGAGGATGTGTGTCTTTAAACATGACATAATAGCTCTGTTCCAGCACCTAGTGAGCTGTCTTGCTGTCTACTGTCACATTAACAAAATTATGGCAAAATGTTGCAGGAGAAAATAAGGTCCATTGGTTATTGTAAATAAGAACAGCTCACACAGAAGTTGCTTTAAAATCAAGGAGCTGTCAAAACGTCAAATTGCAACAAACTTGAACCCGTCACAAAAAATTTTGCCGTTATGCAGAATTCCAGCAAAATTCCAATAGGATTCCTATTTAAATGACTGGATTTTGCCCACGAAAATTTGTCCGAACATTGGTAAATGTGATCGCACCTTTCACACCAAGGACAATACTTAGAAATATACAGTTTTAATAATTCTTCTAGTTCTTTAAGAATAGGGAAGTCCACACCATAACTACTAAATAATGATAACGACACGATAACAATTCCTTACGAAAATTAACCATGGGTTTACTACAAATAAAACCAAAAAACCATGGTTACTATAGTTAAACTATGGTAACCACAAATTAAAGGGTTACTCCACCCCAAAATGAAAATGGTCATTAATCACTTACCCCCATGTCGTTCCAAACCCGTAAAAGCTTCGTTCGTCTTCGGAACACAATTTAAGATATTTTGGATGAAAACCAGGAGGCTTGTGACTGTCCCATTGACTGCCAAGTAAATAACACTGTCAAGGTCCAGAAAAGTATGAAAGACATCGTCAAAATAGTCCATTTGCCATCAGTGGTTCAATCTGAATTTCATGAAGCGATAAGAATACTTTTTGTATGCAAAGAAAACAAAAATAATGACTTTATTCAACAATTCGTCTCCTCCGCGTCACCGTAGCGCCATTTATGAGAGTATCCACTAAACGCAAACTGCGCATGCTGTTCTGTGTCAGCCGCACCACACTGATACGCTGTTTTCGTTGAAATCAAAACGTAAATAAACGTAGAAAACGTATCCGTGTGGTGCGGCTGGTCGCTCATGTCACCAGAGTTAAACTTTCTTTGAAAATGAATGACATACAGTCAGTGGTGTATAAAGTACCTGAAAGCCATACTCAAGTAAAAGTACAGATATCTTACCAGAAAAGGACTTTGGTAGAAGTTGAAGTCACCGTTTAGAATATTACTTGAGTAAAAGTCTTAAAGTATGTGATATTTATTGTACTTAAGTACGAAAAGTATTTTTTAAATCTTAAACATACTTAAGTATTGAAAGCAAATGTACAAGTAAATGCAAAATGGAAAAGAAGCAAATAAATATATATATAAAAATTTTCATACACAGCTTGAGTAGCAAGATTGTGTTCAGTTTTAACTCTTTCTTCCATTTTGTATTTTTGGGTAAGAATAAGAAGCACTTCATCTTAGTGTCTGTGACTAAAAAAATAGTCGAAATGTGAAATTAAAACCACCAGTAGGTGACAGCAAGTGACTGTTAAAGAGTGAGTCATTCATTCAACCGATTAATTCAAACGACTGATTCATTCAGAATCAAAGCAAAATTAAGCAAAATCAAGCAATATTACGTCTAAAATGTAAGTCACTTATTGTTTTACTGAACTTGTATAAAATGATTATTAAATATGTTCATGCTGATATCTGCAGAAAAACGGTACTCTTTGTGTGATATAGATCAAGTTAACTATATTGAATTATATAAATATAAAAAGCATACAGAAGCATTTTTGCCGTCTATAATATAGAATGCCTTGAATTTTGTGTTGCGTGCACTCCGTGTGTGATTTGGCGATACACTTGATAATGTCAGATCGCACATCATTTACAACAACAACACTTGCCATATTATCGCAGACGATGCTGTATCGCACACCCCAGACTCGACTTGAGTGGAAAATGAATCATCCGCGGTTGTGCACGCATTTGTTTGCACATGAGCATGAGTCTAACTTGCAAACGCCAAACCACTGATTCGTCAAACCTGCTTTCCTGCAGTCCGTGTTCTTCTGACTTCTGACTATTTTGTTGTAAGTAACGAATATGCTTCGGGGAAATGTATCGGAGTAAAAGTATACATTTTAATTAGGAAATGTAGTGGAGTAAAAGTAAAAGTTGGCTGAAATATAAAAACTCAAGTAAAGTACAGATACTCCCAAAAAATACTTAAGTACTGTAATGAAGTATTATTACTTCGTTACATTACACCACTGCATACAGTAACTGCAAACCACTCAATATGAACATCCGTTCAGAAATCAGCATAATATTGTTTCGTAAGAGAGCCGATATCCTTAATAATTAAGCTAATTTCTGTACCTACGCACTGAGCGAGTGGTAGATGTGAGAGTCATGACATAATGCCCTTTGGAGTATGACGCTTCATATTTTGTTTAGTCCTCTCATTTTTTTCATTATTTCTTCATCAGGTGATGTGATCGTCTACATCAATGACATCTGTGTTTTGGGCACCACCCATTCTGATGTGGTGAAGCTTTTCCAGTCAGTCCCCATTGGCCAGAGCGTCACCCTGGTGCTGTGTCGAGGTTACCCTCTCCCTTATGACCCAGAAGACCCCTCCGCTAGCTCCTCCATGCCCCCTGTGGGCCTAGTGGATCACCCGTTGCTGCTCAATGGAAGGAACAACTATGAAAATTACATGGAGTACATGTCTTTGACTGGCCGCTTAATACCCGAACACGGCGAGGGCCTTACCCCACATCCCCATCCTGGAGACACACACCTGGACGGCTCGCAGCCTCCATCCCTGACCACACCGGGACCCCCACCTGATGACAGCGTCTCCATGGCCTCATCCTCAGGAGCAACTGCCGGGGCTCAAGTGGCCCCTGAGCTTCTGAGTCTCACTATAACCAAAGGTGCAGAGGGTTTCGGGTTCACCATAGCGGACAGTCCCACAGGGCAAAGAGTCAAACAGGTGTGCTGATATCCATGTTACTCTTTGAACAAGCATTTTAATGTGGGGGGTCTCAAACTCAAATTAAGTAGTATGTATATATAAAAAAATGGAAAAAATCTAATCTATCTATCTATCTATCTATCTAAATATGTCATTTGTTGTTATTTTAGAAAACAAATATATATATTTTTTGTAAAATAATAAGTAATAATATATTTATATATATATATATAGTATTATAGTATTAGTTATTGTAATTTAATTATTTTATTGTTATTTTAATATATAAATAAATAAATAAGGCTACTGTTTTACTTAACATAATGGTCAAACCAAAATTCAAAAAAAGTGAAAATTCATTTGTAGGCTGTATTTATGGATATTACATGGTTATATGTTCTGTCTTAATGCTTAAATGCACATTTGCCAAGCACGATATGTGTCATAACTGTTTCTGTACGTTTCGATCAGGTTCTGGAGCCGCAGGGTTGTCCGGGGTTATGTGAAGGAGATTTGATGGTGGAGATTAATCAGAAGGGTCTCCAGGGACTCAACCACACACAGGTGGTGCAGCTGCTCAAGGACTGTCCAGTGGGAAGAGAGGCTACGCTTGTCATTCAGAGAGGAGCAGCAGCAGCAGGTGCGCACATTTCCACCCTTCATTTTTAAAACCAAGTTCGTCAGAAACTTGATGAAGGTTGCCTGAAATCTACGTCAGACCTTGGCAAAGTACAGTGTTCACTGAAAAATGAAAATTCTGTCAATGTTTACTCACCCTGTATGTCTCTTTTCTTTCTATTGAACAAAACAGGAGAAATTTTGAGGAATGTGTACACTGCACTTTGCAATACAACGATTGCACATAGCGACCAAGGGCTGTCCAAAGCATCACAACCTGCATGTTCCAAGTCTTCTGAAGCCATGACAGCTTTAGGTTAGAAACACACCAAAAGTCTGATTTTTATTAAAGGGGTGGTTCACTGTTTTGTTTCTAGGCTTGATTGTGTTTATGGGGTGCAATCTAACGTGTTAAAGTCCCCCTGTAGTCAAATATTTTATCCCTTAAAACTGATCTTTGATCATCCAACATAAAAAACTTGATTTTCACTACAGGGGGACTTTAATGCTTCGTTTTTAAAAAAACGCATTATTTTCTACATAATTTACCTTTATTCCACACCGCTCTGTCCCTTCTCTGAGAAATGCACGGATCATTTCCTTCTTTTATGAAGCCCCTCCCTCAGAAATAGGCGATGGGCTCTGATTGGTTAGCTAGCCCAGTGTGTTGTGATTGGCTAAACCGCCTCTAGTGCGTGTCTAATCGTCCCGCCCCTCACTTCAGCGGCATAACGGCGTCGTTAATATCGCTTATCGGTTTGAGCCCGATTGAGAAGCAGAACCTGTGCAAGCACGGCATTTAATGGCAGGCATATGTTTTTTGTTTGTTGTTGTCTCATACTTTTAGATACGCTGTTATTTGTAAATGCTACTGCTTATGCTAGCTTTTAATATACGGTTTTATCCTGATTAAAGCTTTAATACAGTATGGCAACTGCACGCGCGTCCATGTTTAACGCTTTTCATAGCTATGTGCAAATAAGTGTATAAATGGAACAGTTCATTGTTGGAGCTGAGCTGAATGAGAGAGAGAGAGAGAGAGATGCAGAGCGTGTGAAGAGCAGGGGAAGCGAGGAACAGTATTAAGAACCACTGCTTTAGAACATTGATTTTGAAACTTGTGAATCCATTAGAATCATTAGAAGACAGAATCACGATTCATATATGAATAGATTTTTACAGTGCACCCCTAGTTTTCTCTTCCTCTTCTCTAAAGCAGTGCCTAGCCCCCTTTGCTGCCTTTTCCCGAGGGTGGGGTTTATCTGGGTTTGTGATGTCACGAACCCGGGAAGTAACTCGTTGTAGTCCCTACCAGCCGTTTTTGTAGGCATTAAACTGCCAGAATTTTAAAAGAAGATACCTCCGTTTGCATTGAACTTTCAGCTTGTAACTTTGCAGATATTGTTTATGCTCAAACAGCATCATTACACACTAACTAACGTTAAAAAAGTGAAATCGCAATCAACCACCCCTTTAAAAAAACTGAAAATTATTATTGTGGTTAAAAGTGGTTGTTATCCAATACTTACTTTTAATACTTACATTTTCCTTAAGTTGGGCATAAACACTGATGATAATTATTTAAAGATATATCATTTTATTATACAGAATATCATTTTTGGGTGAACTTTTCCTTCAAAGTTTTGGTTGAAACGATGAAAGTAACTTTGTACACTTCAGTGCTTCAGTTTTTAGTCTTTTCTAAGCGCTCTGAACTTGCCTTAAGCTTTGATTCAGCAAGATTTCGAAATTAGAGGAGAGAAACATTCCTATTATAGACTCCTAGATGTGCTTTGCCTCACAAACTAACCAGTATATCTCAATTTGTCAGACTCAAACTGTTTTCTTTCAAAATAACTGAAGCTGATGAGCTGTTTTGGGGCAATTTTAGCAAAGCCTTCGCAGGATTGCACACTGTATCATCTCTTGGCAAGAGCTGGTGACAGTTATTAGCATATTCAGACTGGAGCCAAGCTAATCGACTAATTCCATGCGAGTCCACTTATCAGAGTGCTTAGTTTCATTAAGATGTCCATGCAGAGCATAATATTTTATCACCCTTCTTAATTAGGATATTCTTAGAATGAAAATTAATGAGGCAATTAATAGAAACAATCTTGAAGAAGGTTACAGTCTCTCCATGTGTACAGTAAATCTGATATGTGTTCTTAAGACGCTTGTCCGTTCCTCTGAACCACTATCAATCAAGTAATTATGTCCACGCTTCCTGCCAATTACGCCGTGTGTCTGTTCTCACCTCCTCTGCGTGTTTCATGACTATATCGAAGGCTATGGTCTTAAAGAACCTCTCAGTAAACACTCCAAGGCCTCTTGTAACGGAGCGAGAGACGGTCCCGCGTGACTCACTGGCTAAGTGTGAGACCATTCAGTTTCCTCCGGGCGTTCTGCCAAGAGCCCGGCCATGTTCACAGCTCTTTTCCCCAGTTCTCTAATTAAAGCACGACTCCCACACTGAGCTGTGGAGATAAACAGGCAGACGAATCAGAATGAATAGTGGCTCAAGGGGGCGGGGCGTTCAGCTAACAGGCCAATCAGAGCATGTTGCTTACCAGCAGGTAGCACTGAGGGAATACTCTGAAATAGATGCTGATTGAGGAGATGTAATTTATTCTTGGTGACGTGAAGAGTTTATATGATCATAATTTACATAAATTTACATGAATAATATCTATTTAAAGCAGTGGGATGAATGGGCAAATAAATGTCAAGACAAGCATAATTTCACACCAGAACAATGTGAGAATTGTGAATTCAAAGACGGTAAATAGTCTTTCTTTTGCGTTTTCCGCACTGTTCCCAACAACAAACTTACAGCGTGACCAGAGGCAGTTATTTATTTTAAAAGATTAATAATAATTAAAAAAAATGTTTTAAATAATTAAAATATTTGAATCAAAATTGGTTCCATTAAAAAACTGGAAAAAGATGCTGTGAATTGAAATAGAAGACAATCTGACAATATGTAAAAAATTATATATTTTTTTATTAGTGTTTAATTAGAACTAGGTATGGATGATATAGCTAAAAAAATCTCAATATTTTGTGATTTAGTATATATCTTGATATTTCTTAAATATCATCATATTTGTATAAAGGTATTACTTGACTAAAATTACTGTCTTTTTATCAGTGTTGTTATTGCAAACTAAAACTTAAAATGATTTTGAAAGTTAATTGAAATAAAGCTGATATAAAATAAAATTTTAAATTTAGGTGAAAAACTACATGAAATAATAATAATAATAATACAGTTTATTTACACTGTTAGTTTTACACTGTATGTACACTGTACACTGTGAAATAAAAAGTGCTAAAATGACTAAACCTGAAATAAACAAATTAAAGCTAAATAGAAACATTAAAAAACTAACAACAATGACAAAAGCACAAAGCAAAATTACTAAAACAAATTCAAATTAATTCAAAACATTAATAAATATTATAATAGTATTTAAATAATACTAAAATACCTCTGTTATTTTAACTAACCATTGTTGCCGATTCAAAAATGCTAAAAGTAAAAAAAATCTAGTTGAAAATAAATCAAGACTTGCTTTCCAAACTGTTTATTACTAAATGAACAAAATAAATATATATATATATATTTATTTATTTATTTATATATATTTATATATAATTTATATATTATATATATATATTTGTTTGATCAGGTTTTAATTATATGCACCATTACAACATAACATACATACAAATAAATAGCAATATATACTTACATGTAATTCTGCCAGCAAAATTATAATGAATATATATTGCAAATATTCAGTGAATTGTCCAGCCCTACTTAGGACGAGTTATTGGATTGCATTTGCACCCACGTGCATAAATGCAACTTTTGCAATAACTTCTCTACATTTATTTCTGTTGGAATCAGAAATAATCTCATTTGGCAGCAGACTGCTGAGGGAGGTAAATGCAATAAGAAATTAATTTCTTATCTCCAAATGTGCCCAGAGTACTAAAAGAATCATTAAGAAACCAGAATTGTCCTTGCAATTCCCATTTCTAATTCTTCCAGCATTTCTCTACCTTATTAGTGCAGCAGTCAGCACAAATCCACTGTCCATCTTCCTCTCTGCACTTCTTTTATGAGGATTATTGGCATCTCAGGTAGGACTGGACAGGCAGGTGTGAGGTGATAACTCCTCTGACTCCTTGTACTGTCGAAAATATCACCAGGGCCGTGGCATTTTAGCAGTGCCGACAGCTCTATTACATCCTCTTGGCTCTATTATATCGGGGTCTCAGAGAACTCGGAGCTGACAGTCACCCCGAATCCCTCATGATTCCATCTAACTCACCTTTCAGACTTCACCTGAGAGAGACGCTTGTCATGGATGAAACCCAAGGACGCACGAGGCCATTGACATGGCATTCAACTTTTAAGTTTGACTTTTTTGACAGTGTTCAAGTCTGAATACGGCAATCAAGAAATAAGAGGACAAATCCTTGAAGCCTTGCATGCAAATTGATCAAAGTTCTCTGCTTTTTGTTGTCCATATGGCTTCTGTTATGATGCGTTGGGGGAGGAAGGGGACTTGTGGAGTGCCACGACTGTGCGTATTTGCCCGAGGCTTTATGTTTAGCCCTTCACTTCCAAGTCGTGTCCTGGTCATATAGCATTTGATGTAATCCTGTTAGTTTAAGTAGGCATAAAAATGCCTTGCTCCCCTACAAATACTCACATACACATACCCAGATGTACAGGCCACACACATGCATGCACATTTTTAAGCACACACAAGCACAAAGACTCACATTATAGTCTGTGCAATTGAAAGAAACAGGTCTGAGACTAGGAAATGAAAAGTCATAACTCATTATTCTCACAGTACCTCTGGCCACGGTTTAATCACATTGCAGATGAATCTTAAACAACCTTCTTCATATCACAGACAGTCATATCACAAATGCACATCATGCATTTTATTATATGTGTGGGCTAAGTATAAAACAGGATTGTGGTAGTTGTTTGCATATTGTAAAAAGTGAAATGTGTGGTTGTAACAATGCAAAGCAATTTCTACCCAGTCTGACCATTAAAATGGCTTTCTGTTAGTGTAACCTGATGTGGTTAGTATGATACGTTACTCATTATGACATAATATTTTTCATTAATAGTTTTTATTTGAAAAAAATGTTTCAGATTTAGATTTCATTATATTCCATAGATGTCATTTATACAATATTACTAATATAAACACAATATTCTTTTATCAGTTTTTTATTTCATTTTAATTAGTTACTTATTTTTCATTTGCAAAATTGTGTGAAATAAGAAAATGTATTTTGAATTTGATTTATTTTTCTGACTCCATTGACCCTTTTTAATAAAACAAGAAAAACAACAAAATTATCCCAGTGGAGTCAGAAAAATAATCTTAATATCTAATGCAAATGTTTATCTCAAAAAAGTACACAGTATGTCTATAAATAAAGTATCTTGCTATAATGGGTTTTCTGATGTATTTACTGGAATCAAAAATATCAATAATAAAAATATTTTTTTTATTATGACAGAAATACTAAGAAAATTATTTCTGTACTGTACAGATATAAAACCTCAAGCTTGAGTCACATTTAAAATGTGCTGTTATAATAATCGTAAAAATGCTAATTTTCATTTATTGTTCTTGTAAGTGATCATAATCCTAAGTGATTGTTTTGCGGGTTTTTTTTTCTGATTATCGAAATATTAATACTTAGATATTTGAATACAGATATTTTTCCGATGCGAATGAGGCCAGTGATGCTGAGTGATTCAGTAGCTACAGTGATATAGATTCAACACAAATGCTAAAAGCGTTACTGGCCATTCTTATTTCAGAATCATTCAGGACTGACTGGAAGTTGTAAAAAAAAATCTAGTTTAGTGTCTTCTGTCTCCTTTATGGTACTAAATAATGTTTGGCAGGCTCAATTTTAGTCTTTTTTTTATTTAGGATGAGTTTGGCATCTGCTCAAAGCTAATGATGTAATTACCTCACAAATAAATGCAATAAACTTTCCTCACTCAACCGCCTACAGGACAACAAAGAGAATAATGGAAGAATATTATGTGACTAAAATGAAAAACACATTATTTTACTCCTTAGATTTAATGATATTAATTGTTCTCTCTTTCTTTCTCTGTCAGGCCTCTACACACCCTGGGATCCCACAAAACAGGTAAATGATTTGAAATATTTGCTTTCTCAAACTACTATTTGTTTTTGCATGTTCTTAACCTGACACCTGCTGTAACTTCAAAGGGTTGTAAAGTAAGGCTTCAGTACAGATTCAACCACATGACATTCGGTTCCATTAACAGTTCTCGCACATGCTTTCTTCCACTGATGTGGCTGGAACGCGTTTAAATACTTGGACATTTCCTGCACTACTTATTCAGTGGCACTGAACAAAACAGACAGAGCAAGCAGAGTAGTCAGATTCCTGAATGAATGACTCTTCTAAACCAAGCTGATCTTATAAAAATATGTAGATATTTTCCAAGGTGGTGATTTCGTATGAATCTGTATTATGTGATTCGTATGAAAACATCATGTGAATTAACCAACCCATTTGCCAAACGTAAAATAGTTACAAATTGCCATGATGAATCAAACACTTACAGCGCAGCCTGAGTTGTCGGATATCTGTACAAATAACTCTTCTGAGCCAACATCTCAGCTTATAAGAAAACATAACTATTTTTCAAGGTACCTAACAGTACGCGTGCGCTGTTAGGCATGTTTTGTGCCGTTGATCGTTGTCGTCATCCTTAATAAATAAAACATTTATTCATGCTTGGGTGTCGGCTGTGAATCCAGTGGAGAGGAATCCCCCACCACTAACTGCAAACTGGCATTCAGATCTGCCTCCATTTTGTTTGCAACGCCCCACCTTCCAACGATCCAATCAATTCCCGAAGGACGAAATCAAGTCCCGCCCTCTCATTTCAGATGCCGTTTCACTCGGATATACTGTACGTCACAGTAGAGAAGAAAAGACAATCGCAACTTCCGTTTCATGCCGACTTTAACAGCAAAAAACAAAGATTTTAGAGCACTCGCGCGATTAGACTGACAGGGTAGCTGATTTGGTGGTTGCCTAGCAACATAAAAAACGCAGCGCACTGCTCTTTTGTTTTTTTTTAAAGTCACCAAAAAAAGGCAATGCGAAGCGCCTCGCGGTTTCAGACCTAAAAAACGTGTTCGGTGGGATCGGGGCCTCATGCTGCATTTAAGTCCTCCTGGGACGTTCGTACTTACGAGTTGACAAGTCGTAATTACGACGTCAGGTGCGTTCAAGTCAGTTTAGTCGGCACAAGATGGCGGTGTACCTTCTTTTAATAAATTACAAGAAAATACAACAGAGGCTGCATTTTTTTACTTGGATTTCAGCTGCGTAACAAGAACATGACCAATTTAAGTTTATAGGACAACTAAACTATCAATTTAAACAAAAATTTACCGTCAACTACAGACGTTGCATCCATCGATTCCGCCATGTTTCTCATTGACACGCCCCCAACTCGGAAACTCAGGGCTTAACATTTTTTTTGAGTTTCCCACTCGTAATAACGACTTTGTGGTGGCGTTCATGTGCGTTCAACTCGTAAATACGATCTATCCGACATGACTTGAACGCACCATAAGACTGGTTTTGTGGTCCAGGGTCACATATTTCAGTAAACATTTATTTTATTTGAAGTAACAGTTTTAGTTAACTATAATAATCCTAGTTACAAAATATATATAATTTTTAATAATTATGTAATTTATCTAATGAATAAATAATATGTATGTTTTTTTATTTTGTAATAAAAAATGAGCAGTTAACAGTTTAGCGGCCATTAAACAAAAATATTTGTCTGCATGATTGTTTTCTGATTGGCCAATCAGAATCAAGTATTCCAGCAAGACATTTAATACAACGGGGATATTTAGCAGAATATCCAGGCTGCGCTTGTCACTATCCCACAACAAAGGAATGCTCCACAGTGTTTTTAGTCCACTTGTATAATCTTAGTTTTACATGTCTTGATTGCATTGCGGATCTACAAATGCTGTTTGCGAAACTAAATGGACTGTACATCTCAGGTTAAGTTTCTTGTAAAGTAATCCATCGTTTAATTTAGCACATTTAGGTATTTATAGAACTGGCTGTGATATCTAATTTCATGTGAGTTCACTTTCATCCCGGTGTGAGATACATCATTTTCAAGAAGCCGCCCAGTTCGGCTGGACTCAGGGCTCGTAATGGAATTGGCACGTTAAGCAGAGAGCTGCAGGTGAAATGAACAGCTCACAGGAAATAGGATCCATTAGCCCCTGGGGCACATGACTGTAGCACAGATACTTTAGGCCCTCACTTAGGGCTTAATTCATTTCCCCCACTGAACCTCCAGAGAGCGACTGGACTGCTAAACTCTCTCCTTGCAGAAAGAGGACAGGAGTAATGACAGCGGTCACCTTTATGACACGCCGAATGTTCTCCTCTTGAACTTTTAAAGGATCTACATGAGAGATTTGCACTTCTTTTTGGTGCATGTATTAATATTATCCACTCAAACCAGTCTATATCTGTGTTGTCCATACAGTGGGATCCTCAAGGAAGCCCCCAGACCAGCTTGTCAGTTGCTTTGCTCCCCCATGGTGCTCCACATCCCGGCCAGCCGCTCCATCGCTCCTCTGTTCCGGACACAGAGGCCTTCCACCTGGGCAAGCCTGACCCCTATGACCTCTATGAGAAGTCACGTGCCATTTATGAAAGCAGACGTAAGTCAGAGATTTTGGTCATTTTCTAGTTGTTTATAAATAACTATATAAAATATTTCAAATATATCAGCTTAGATTTATGTGTGCGTGTGTGTGTGTGTGTGTGTTTGTATACCAGTATACAAAAGTTTTTACCTGCAGGATTGGCCACATTTAATGCATTTTTCTCCCCATATTCTCATTAATGAATTCATGTAAATAAATTCTAATTACTACTATGTAATAATTATTTACTGTATCAAAGTAAAAAAAAACAATACTGTAATACTATTATCACTGGGTTCCCACAGTCATGGAAAAGCTGGAATTTTTTGGAAAATCGGAAAGACCTAGAAATTGATAGAAATGAATAATCTTAAATCTTGGTTAGGTATTAAGCATTATGTGATGAATACACTTTTTTCTATTTCATCAGCTGGAAAGTGCTCTAGTGTGAATTATATTTGCTCACAAGCCCTACTGACCAAAAAATTGGCCAAACAGTTTAACAAAGTGAGTCATTAGCGAATTGGTCTGAATAAAAATTATTTTTACAAAAGTCATCCAATTATCACAAACAACTACTAGACTGGTCATGGAAAAGTCATGGAAATAAAAAATAAGATATTAAATAAAAATGAAATAAAATATATAAATATATTTTTAATATAGTTTAAATAATATTTTTTTTCACATTATATTAATACCAATTGGGAAGCAAAATGTGCTTCATTTTCATGAAAATAATATCACAACCAGAAAAAAATAGGCCTTGTTTTCTTCAATCTAATAATAATTTCTTATTTCTTTCTTTAAATTTGAGGTGAAATATGAGGCTCTAAAATTCTTGACAGGTTCCTTGTGACTCCTCCACATATGAGCCTAAATAAAGCATGAAGCCAGTTGATAGTACAAAGTATTTTTGAATAATTTCAGCGTTTGAAGCTCTCATTTCTCATTCACACAGAGCCAGTCCCTCGGATGCTGACAGACTCTACAGGCAAGTAGAGGAATGTGCTGCTTTCCCTTTCTTTATGTCACATAGCACATATGCTGCTACTCACACTTCAATAGTTAATTTATGGAACCCATGTGAATTTAGTGCTCTGTATTTAGCTCTCTGTCTACCATTGTACTCTTATTCTCCACTACATCAGAAAGTTCAGCACTCCAGTTTGTGAGGTGACCTACAGCTTGTGTTCAGGTTTAGGAATGGTTTGATGTTTCTGAAGAAGTCCTGCTCTTTGCTTTCATGTCAAACATGATCAATTCTTACATTTTATAGGATCGTAGCTTTCTGTTGGTGGTTGAGCAGAGACCCCCCCACATGATTGTAAAGCGCTTTGGGTGTACAACAATACACAATAAAGCGCTATATAAATGCATCATTCATTCATTCATTCATTCATTCATTCATAGAGTGGATTTTAATGTGTTGCTGTGTGGTTGCTAGGGGATTAAATATCCCTAACCAAGGAAGCACCATGAATTAAATCAAGCTTGAGTTTGGTGTGTGTGATCTAAACTGTGAATCTTGTTCCTCAGGTGTGGAGTATCAGGAAGTGGAAGTGCACCTGCTGCGTGAGAAGACTGGCTTTGGCTTTAGGATCCTGGGTGGAGACGAGGCGGTGCAGGCTGTGAGTCCGGAGGCCCGTGACAAGGCTCGTATGGGGCAGGATAAACAGATACTGGTCCATATCTGTACAGCTCCACGAGCAGCAGATGGAAACAATAATTTCCTGAAAAAATCTGAAAATCATTTCCTGCTTCCTTTAGCTACTTATACAACATTACAATAGCAAAACCATGTTTTTTGGGCATGTACCATAATAATATGGTATGTGAGTATAGTAGTTAGTTTAGAAAATTTCGGTAGTAATTATTAGAGCTGGGCTTTATGATGATGAGGGACATAGACTACCGTTTAAAAGTTGGTATTCGATAAGATTTTTTGTTATTGAAATAGGTTTCTAATGATTACCAAAGCTACATTTATTTGATCAAAAACATAGTGAAAACAGTAATATTGACAAACATTATTGTAATTTAAAACAACTGTTTCTGTTTTAATACATTTTATAAGGTAATTTATTCCTGTGATGCAAAGCTGAATTTTCATCATCATTACTCTATTAAATAATTATAATTATGCTTTGTCTTAATGTTTTTGTGAAAAACATACTTTTTCCAGGATTACTTGATGAATAGAAGGTTTAAAAAACAGCATTTATTTTAAATATATATATTTTTGTAACATTATAAATGTCTTTACTGTCACTTTAATCAATTTAATGCCTCCTTTCTGAATAAAAATATAAATTTCTTTAAAAAAAAGCTTACTGACACCATACGTACAGGCTGTTTTTGCTTATGATGACTTATGATGTGTCTGATGACATTTTATTAGATTAATTTGTTTCCATAAAACTTCAAAATAAAAATAAAAAAATTAAGTTGATTAATACACATTGCTACATGATATATATACACTGAACAAAATTATAAACGCAACACTTTTGTTTTTGCCCCCATTTTTCATGAGCTGAACTCAAAAATCTAAGACTTTTTCTATGTACACAAAAGGCCTCTCAAATTTCTCTCAAATATTGTTCACAAATCTGTCTAAATCTGTGTTAGTGAGCACTTCTCCTTTGCCGAGATAATCCATCCTCCTCACATATATATATATATATATATATATATACACACAATTTGTGGGGTTAACTAACTATATTATGAGATGTTACTATAAAATTAAAATGACTCATACCATGATATTTTTATTATAATGCCCAGTCCAAATTGTTTTTTTTTTCTTCATAATTTTTTTATTTCATTCGTCTTTTAGTTTTATTTCAGTTCAGTGTAGTTTTCATCCCTTTCCATCACAAATTCTTCCATCTGCCTGTAATGAGACACAAAACACTGTGATTGGTTGTTTTACATGGCAATCAAACAGCTACTTTTTTTTTTATTAGATTGCTTTTGTTGTATATTTATTTATTCATTTGACAGAATACATTTGAAGTCTGAAGTCAGGGTTGAGAAATATATTTAATTCTTTTGCACTGCATTTTTTAATTTGTATTTTCGTTAACTTTGGTTTTTACTGCTTATTTTCTTCTTCATAATAGTTATGGTTAACAGTTATGGTACAGTTGTGGTACAGAACATGTAACAAATAGACTTAGCATCTGATACCATGAATATTCCATTTACCACCACTGTACATGTTTGTAACAGTGAGCTGGTTCGGTTTATTTACAGTCGTCTCTTAGCTAGTTGTCTTTGGTAATCTGTGGTATTTTCATTTTGGTATTTGCAACTTTCTGTCAGGCTAGATATGTATCCCATCAACTAGTCAAGAAAATTGCTGTTTGAACATGTAGAACTAGTGACAATATTATTATGAGACGGTGCATGTCAGTTCACATTAACGTGATGACTGATTTTTCATCACAGATTGTGATCGGAGCAATCATAGAGAACAGCCCTGCGGAGCGCGACGGCAGACTGCGTCCGGGAGATGAGCTGGTCTCGGTTGACAGGATGCCCGTGGCGGGGAGACCACACCGCTACGTCATCGACCTCATGCACGCGGCGGCACGAAGCGGACAGGTCACCCTGACTGTAAGGAGGAGAGTTCTGCTGCAGCAGGGTGAGCAAAAACCCTCCAGTGACAACTAAAGCAACACTTTTATCCTCAAATCCAGTCAGTAACTACACTGTCAGGGTTTATAAAACAACAAATTCCATTATATGGGTATTTAGGATGAGTAATTTTTTTTTAGTTCCTTTAACCCTATAAAGCCCAGTGTATCATATTTGATGCACACATTTATAAGGCCTCTGAATTATGAACATGATCAAAACTTTTCTGAAAACCTGTTGTGCACAATCTACTACATGCCTTCTGTCGTCTGATTGATAGTTGATAGTAAAATTGATAGTAAAAGGCCTTACAGTGGAATTGTACAAATGTCCCCCTTCAGGTCTTTGTACATGTTTTCTTGCTGTATAATCTTTACTGATTTTTACAAAGTAAATGTAAGAACATCTTTTATTTTGTCATTAATATTTCAAGATGAACATTTACTCAACTTAAGCAATTTAAATTTTTTCATGACATGAAAAATCATGTAAAATATGATATATCAGGAATGTTGTACATCTATTAATCATCTTTGTATTGCATTGCATTATAGGTTTTTGCATTGCATGCAAAACTAAACATTTAAATATCATCTTACTAAGACATTTTTGGGAGATATAGAGTGAAAACTGATATTTATATGCAAAAAATGTATTTACATTAAAAACTATCAGAATTTCATCTTACTTTTAGCCATATAAATATCAGCAACTGCACCAAACTGCATATTTTTGCTCAGTTTGGGCCTCTGAATAAAATTGAGGTGTTTTTTCCTAAGTAGGTGTGAGCTCCATATTTTCACTATATCAGACTATTTGAGTCATTAAAGCCTGATGTATTAAATGTGACACAAAACATAAAACGTTTTTTTTTTTTTTTTTTTTTAGATTTTTAAATTTAGATTTTAAAAAATGTATCTAAAGGTTAAAAAAACTGTTCGATTAAAAATAAAACAGATTTTTCTGACTATTATTATTTCATGTTTTGGGATTTACATTATCAAGAATAAAACTGCAGTAATTTGTGGCAATTATCTCTTGAGTCACATTGCTGTGGTTTGGTGTTTGCTGCCACCTGCAGGCCAGCCATGTGAGGAAAACGGTGCAGCAGCCAATCAAAGCAATTCTCCCCGGGGTCATGCAGTGTGCCCGGTCAACTTGCCCCCCACCACTGATGTAGTTATCCACCGTAAGGAAAGCGAAGGCTTTGGCTTTGTCATCATCAGCTCCCTCAACCGTCCAGAGACCACAAACACAATAAGTAAGTCCTGCCTTCACATAGCTGTTAATCTGATGCTCTGGTGAACACTAATGCAGTTTTACACATGGTGATCTATTAAAGGGACACGTTTATTTATAAAGTTTTGTAGTGCACATGTATTGAAAGTATGGGATCAGGCCCCTTATTTGTGTGCAAGAAGATAGTTTAAGCTTTGAAAGCCATTTCCTTTCAAAGGAAGGAAGCCATTTAATCTTATCCACATTTGGGTAAATCTCACAAAACATGTTAAAATAAATAATAAATAAATCTATTTGACACCTCTTTCGACCTAAAATTCTTATTACAACAAAAATGAAGCTTATTTTAGTACCATTCATAATACTATTAAGAATATTTATAATATAAATGTATATAAATTATAAATATAAAATGTTTATAATAGTAATATTATTAAAATATGTATTATAGCAAATGAAGCCTATTTTAGTACCAGTTTAAGATTACTATTGAGAATATTTATAATAGTAATTTATATACATTTTAAACATCAAATAAATGTATGATGATGATATTGATAAAAATATGTTTCATTATATTATTATTAATATAATTTCTAATTAATTCACTTATTCACTTGTAAAAAAGAATTAACAGTACTAAAACTATTGAAAATATTAATTTCTATTTTTAATGTTCTTTTATATTGGAGGGAAATATGACATTTCTTACTGTTTTTTTTTTTTTCACTGAAATATGATCAAAATATTTTACATGCAATTCTCATGATATTTACATTCCTATGTTTTCTAGCTGTGCCACATAAGATCGGCCGCATCATCGAGGGCAGTCCGGCTGATCGCTGTGGGAAGCTGAAAGTTGGTGATCGTATTATGGCCGTCAACTGTCAGTCTATTATCAACATGCCTCACGCTGACATTGTCAAGCTGATCAAAGACGCTGGACTCACTGTCACCTTGCACATCATCCCAGAAGAAGGTATGATAAGAATATTTTACAATAAAGAAAGATTTCTTTCTTCCTTTGTAAGCACAATCATTTTGTGCCCTAGATGTAAACGGTGCTCATTCGGCCCCTACATCAGAGAAGCAGAGTCCCATGGTGGCCCAGAAGCACAGCCCTCAGACTCAGTCCAGCCCAGCAGCCCAGCAGAGCCCGACCATGGCTCATCCCAGCCCACCAGCCCCCCACCCCAGCCCGGCCACCACACAGCCCAGCCCCCTGCTGATGGAGCCGGGCCCTGGAGCTCCACACAGCAGCCCACCAGTGACTCAAAGCAGTCTGCCTGTGAGTCAGGCCGGCCTGGAAGCCATGCAGTCAGGCTCAGCGGTGACTCAGGCTGCTCCTGTTGTGGATCCGGGCATGCCGGGAGTTCAGCCCACCTCCATCGGATCAGTGCCGGTACCGCCACAGCTGTACCTTCATGACACCAGGTACCGCTTGCTCGGATATATAATTCTCATGTCTGATTTAATATTAAAGCTTCAAATCAATATCTATCTATCTATCTATCGTTCTATCCTTCTATCCTTCTTTCTATCTTTTTTGCATCATGACATTATTTTCATTATAGCATTATTTTTTTTTATCACCATTAAGCACATTTTCCTCAAAATAATCATTACTGTATTTCATCTGGATGAAATTGCAGAGGTTTTTCTGTCATTTCTAAAATAATATCTCTAATAACAATTATCATGTATTACAATAAAAATTGCTGCAATACATTGATTTTAGTATTTTTATTTAATTAAAATTATTTTAAATTAAAATACTAACATTTTTTAAATTAATAGATTGTAATATATCTTTTCATGTTTTTCCTTTTGACTTTTGGGGTGAAATATGAGACGGGCTTGTTCTTGACATGCTTACTGACCCATCTAAATCCCTTCTTTTTATTCCTTTGTTGTTCCATGTGTCCACGTCTGTTTAAAGCCTTATGTCAGGTAGTCTTTGGGCTCAACCAAACTGCCTTGGGCAGTCTCACGTCATGCTTCGAGCGTCTGCTGTCTTTCTCTCACACCAGCCAGATGTAACATCACTTAACACTTCATGATAAATTATTTACCTCCTCAATAATGCGTGCTTCTCCTCTCAGGCAGGGTTTGCACATTTTTTGTAGTTTTTTTTTCCCCAGGGTTGGCTCAAGACTGCTCTGATTTATGCATTGTGAAAGATGGGAACTGAGACTTGATAAATATGGCCCATGAGCAAAGCCCTGGTCACATGGTCAAAAAAGGTCATTGTTAGACATGTGCTGTTTTATTGAACATTGGATGTAATAGTATTTAAACCAACATTCACAGAGAGTTTAGGTGGTTTAAACTTGAATTTTGTGGGAAATGTGTAGCTGAAGTTATTTAGCCTGTTGAATTGTGGGACAGGATTGCTTGGTTTGATCTTGTTGGTACCTACAGGTCAGAGGTTAAAGCCAGGCAGGATGTTAAGCCTGATATCTGCCAAGCTGCATATACAGACTACAGACAGCCTCCGGTGGACTACAGACATCCTCCTGTAGCAGACTACAGACAGCCGCCCACCATGGAGTACAGACACCCACCTGCTCTGATAGACTACAGACAGCACTCCATCGCCGATTACAGACCACAGGTCAAACTGCGCATTTTATTACACAAAAAATTACTTGACATCCAGAGTTTGATACAATTACAGTACAGTGCAGCTGGAAAATCAATAAAATCACCATTAGAAGTGCCATGTTTTTTCTACGCAATGAAATCACCTGTTATAGCACAATTTGTTTTTGTATATAAAATATAGAGCATTTGTATTTGTCCGTTACACTTAATTTCAATAAATAAATAAATAAAATCTCATCAACATACATTTTTTGTGATTTTTGGTGTTAAGTACATGAATATAAATTAATATTAAATATTAATATTACATTTAAAATTGAAGATAAAAGCTGAATAAAAGTCAAATGTGGGAGTTGTCTTGAAAAGCTGCATGCCACACTTCAATTTTTTTTCTTTTCTTTTTTTCCAGGACTATGACTACTTCACTGTGGAACTGGAGAAAAGTGTGAAGGGATTTGGCTTTAGTATCCGGGGAGGACGGGAATACAAGATGGACCTGTTTGTGCTGAGACTGGCGGAGGACGGACCTGCGATCCGCAACGGCAGAATGAGGGTGAGAAAACTCTAAAAACTGTTAAGAGAGTCTCACACTCAAACTGTTAAAACAATTTCAAATAAATGCTGTTCTATTGATCTTTTCATTAAAGAAGCCTGAAATATTAATCAGTACTACTGTTTTCAACATTGATAATAACAAATGCTTCTCAGCAGATTAGAATGATTTCTGAAGGATCATGTGACACTGAAGACTGGAATAATGATGCTGAAAATGCAGCTTTGCATCACAATAAAAAAATACATTTAAAAATATATTTAAATAGAAACAGTTATTTTGATAATAATATAATAGTTATTTTGATATAATAATATTTCACAATATTACTGTTTTTTTTCTGTATTTTTGATCAAATAAATGCAGCCATGGTGAGCATACCTAAACTTTTGAACAGTAGTGTCTTTGCATTTATTCCATGACTCTATGGAAAGGTTGACTCTGGTCAATTATCATAAAATAAGCACCTTCAAGATGAAAAATATCCCCCTATTTTCCCCTATGTCCACAGGTTGGCGATCAGATTATTGAAATTAACGGTGAGAGTACGAGAGACATGAGTCACACGCGCGCCATCGAGCTCATCAAGGCCGGCGGTCGTCGAGTACGTCTGCTGTTGAAAAGGGGCACGGGACAGGTGCCGGAATATGGTGGGTATCACAACACACAAAGCCAAAAAACACCATTTTAATCTTTTAAAAGTTTTTCAGTTTAAAATAAATATAATTTTGTGTAGCCATTACCAACTTCTCAGACTAACATAGAATTGATAATCATGTTTTAAAACTAAAACCTGCTGATTTTGGTTGAAATATTGGAGCAGATGCTCGTAAATGTGCTTATTGGAGTGCACCGGGGAACAATAGCTCAAGCGGGATACGGTGGTCTTGACGGTTTGTTCAAGCTGAAAGCTTTCTGTTAAAAGCTTAAAAGCCTTTGATGACTCACTACATCAATTAAACCTTTCAGTGAACTGTCATTTAGTGACGAAACGTCTAGTAGCCTGTAACTAGTGTTCTCGTAACTCCTCTCCTCTATCAGCTGCTCTGTTTTTCTAACTCTAATCTGCAAAGCAATAGTTCAATCTTTTACTTCCTGTCCTGTAGGAATGGTACCTACCAACCTTACCATGTGCATGAAAAGCGACACTCTAGCCTCACCCTATTTCTTCATAATGGGACACTCTAAAGACACGGTTCGTGGCATCCTGCACATCTCTCGGCTTTACATTTTCTTTTATATCTGTAGATTTTCTTCTGTTTCCATTTGCTTTGGCACTCTAGCATATGTTGCATGTCTGATTATCTTTTAACTAGACTGTGATTGGTCGCAGTGTGTTTGTGTGTTGTTATGTATCACTGTGTGCATGTGCACATGACAGTGTTGGGAAGCTAAATTGAAACTGATGCAAGTAGTAAAATAGTTCAAATACAATCAAGCTACTCGTTGCTAACAAAAAGCAGCTAACTACATTGAACCTATTTAAGGGGCAAAATTGTTCAATATATTAATATAAGATTATTTATTTGCAAACAGAGCAGTATTTATCTGACAAAAACAACGAGAAACTCAATTGACGTTTCACTAAGCCCCGCCCTAAAACTGTAAATTACCAATCGTACTTTAGCAACTGCTGCCATCCTTCATTTTTTCATACAAGTTTGTGATCTTTTCTAATGAAATTAAATGGAAGATCTGTGAGTTGATTTTTAAATGAAATCTTATGGAAATTAGCCAATCTATCTATATGTTTATAGATAGATAGATAGAATTTTCAAATTTTCAATTCATATTTTTACATTTATATATTAATATTTGTATCTATAAATTTAGACTAAGTAAATATTCACATTTCTAAATGTTTAGATTACATTTATAGATATACATGTTTATACATATTATATAGACATTTGCAGTTATGTTTAATTACTTCATGTAATTATTTCCCTCATTTATATATATTTATACTGTGTGTGTGTGTGTGTGTGTGTATATATATATATATATATATATATAAAACATTTTTTACATTTATTTATAGAAATTATATAATTTTATATAACATCAATTATATATATTTTTTTTATTTATAGAAATGATATATTTTTTTACATAATATCAATTTTATATATAAACAATGTAGCAAGTCGAAAACAGGAATATTTTTGGAAATACTGTATTCATCACTATGTAAAATAGCACAAAGTGACTCATGAATAATTTTTTTAAGTAGTTCATTTACATAAACTGTCCAAATGAACCAATTCACTAAAATGAATCAGACTTCTCGAAATAACAGATGAGGAAGAGTATAATTATGTTCCCTTTTACCATAATCTAGCTTGTTACTGGAAGTGCTACTAAAAAGTTCATTGCTCCCCAGCATTGTATGACTTGTGTTGTGTACATTGGCAGTAACCTTGCTGTGCAGTCAGGTGTAACGGGTGATTCACAGGTTCTTTGTGTTTCCTGGTAGACAGTGCCGCCTCCCGGAGTGCTGTCTCTCCAGCCGCCCCTGCCTTGTCGGAAGTAGGCTCACCCCGCTAGTGTGACACTCGCCCTTCGCCGTCATCTCATCCAGCCTCAAACCCTGGACTTTCAGTGGCATTCTGTGACAGTCTGGACCAATCACGGCGCCCCTTGTGGCCAGTTTTGTGGGGCTTTGCCCGCAGAACGAAGGGTGGCAGGTCCACCTGTAAGAGCTGTGCTTTGAACAGCCTAAAAAATGGAGGAGATGGATCATAAAAGTCGAAAATATTAAGAACAGATGGAGACACATCAACCTCAAATGGATTGTTGCATCCAACTTGCTTTTCATATAGACTTTGATCCAAGTTTGTTTTTCATTTTTCCGGACGATCCAGATGAATGGCAGCCAAAGACGCGTGGCTCGCCCTCGCTGTTTAATTCTGGATCCAGAGCGGAAACTTCTCACAGGGGAACGAGCCGAACTTTCAACACCTCGTTCTTCCATCCGGTGGACCCGAGCTCACTTTATTTGTTTATCATGTAGAGGTTGTTTATTTTTTGTATAATTTCAAGACGTTCGTACCAATCCCCTAGCGATGCCGGGGGTCAAATATCGCAAATATATGTGTAGCATGAAAAGAGATTTCCGAAGAAACACACTAACTTGTTGAGTTGAGAACTTCAACATTTCAGTATTGCGTTTCGTTATATGTCTGATGGGAAAAAACACACCATAGACATTGTGAAACACTGACAGTAAATATAAAGGGAGACATGATGGAGATACAAGGGTAAGTATCACGCCGACCCATTCGGCCTGAATTATGGGAGGCAAATGCATATCAATCATCAAATCTGCCGTATGGACGTACCCCTTTAGATCCCAAGACAATATGTTACATTAGTATGGTTCAGTCGATGAATTCCACACCCAGCCAAATGTTCGGTTACATTGCGAACTGAACCGAAGAAGGAGCGAGGATGTTTTCGAAGCCTCAGTACATCATTCTGGCCTCATTGTCCCTGTACTGTGTGCCACCACTGTGGATTTGGGGTGCCATCTTACACCTCACAAGCTTCATTCCCATGTCTCCGATGGCTCTGTAGTTCATGGAAGCTAATTAGCGGAGCTAATTAAAAAAAGATGGTTTTTCAGGACAGTTTGGTCTGAGACTAGGAGACATGTAGTCTTTCACCGTGTCCTAACCAAGTGCGACATGACAAATAATTTGCCTGTTCGCTCCGAACGTGAAAATGCTGTGTAATGCAACAAAATCACACCCAGTCAGAACTTATTTGTCATGTAGTACACAGCAATGTGGATTTTGGACCAATAAGATGTAACTATGGGCAGGGCTACATACAAATAAATTTGGGTTTTGGACCAATAAGATGGCAGTGGGCGGGGCTACATACACAAATTGGCAAAATTTCCTGCCGCTTGTTACAGTTGCGTCTAGTTAGGACAAAAAGTCAACATGAAATCAAATTTGACTCTATTTCTAATGCACATTCCTGATCAAGATGTGCATGATATTTTGGTATCATACCGGTTATTGGTTGATATTGGATATTTAATTTTGCGTTTTGATATTTAAAATGCTAATTTCCCGTTTTTATTTTTAGATACATTTGCCGTCTTCTATTGCTCACTTAAAGTTAATCTTTAAAAATTAAAATTTAATAACACTGTTAAATGTAATCTTTAGCAAGTCTTGCAATGAATATACATTTTTCATACTGTACAATATGATGTTGTGATGCCCGAATTCACTTGTAGCATTTAAAACTATTGTTTTTGTAGTGTTTTATTTTTATTTATCTAGAAACAATTTTTATGGAATTTTAATATTGACCATTTATCAGTTATCACACGTAACATGAAAATAATTATCGGCTTTGGCATCGGCCAGAACTTTATATTCTGGTCACTTTGCTTTATCGCTTGACGTTTTATCACGTCATGCTTGGTTAAGACACGGTTAAGGTTCAGCTGGGAGCAAAGACAAGGAAAAAGGATGTTTTTAAATGATGGGGGCAGGGGCGGCGTTTCCGTATGGCAGAGTATGGCAGTTGCCATACCCTAGCCCAGTCAGGTGTGCCGTGAAAAATTATCCAAACTTCATATCTCTATTATAATTCGTTATTATTATTTTAAATCAAAGGGTTTTACAAATATTTAACCAATGATAAGTCTTACAAAGAGCTTGTCAGTAAAACTTCGTAACGCCATTGGATCCTCAAGCTCTCAGCAAAACCTCGTAACTTCACCCCGTCTCCATTCAGATGGACTCGCCGCGCACAGCCTAGAGGAGACAGATCTCCGCTTTTTCGCAATGCAAGGGTACATAAATTACTGATGTTTGAATAGTACAGCGTTTTTTTTTACTCAAACACTATGTCTGTAAAGGCTAATGTTTTTGTGTGTTTGAAGAGCGGAGAAGTAGGTTATTTGCTGTCTAGCCAATACTTTTGTGCGTTTTAAATATCCTGTGCATAAGCGCTTAATCGTTTATATCATGAGATTTTGGCCAAGTGTATTAAACAACAAGAAAAACTAAGCGCCCATATAGCAACAATAAACGTTATATAACATGTAAAAGTTGATGACAGCATATAATGCGATGCACTTGCCATTCTGTTGACAGACAAAACACAGATCTCCTCATTCGCCGGCCAAAAACCTTGTTAACTCCATTTGAGCTTGTTTTTCATAAAGGCCTAATGTTCAAGTGCAAGTGTCTGATACAATACCAACACTGACGACGCAGTGTTGTTTAATTATTGACTTTTTTCCCCTTTCTTTCTGTTTTCCCCCTGTATTTCAGTAGAGTGTGCCATGGAATTGTTTTATTTCTCAACACCCCCACGCGCCATACCCTATGGTTTTGTGAAATGCCGCCACTGGATGGGGGCATGATCAGGGTCTGTCTAGCATGAAAGGGTGGGACCCAGTTGTATGGGGCAGAGTGCCTTACTGGCAGGACAAAGAGCAGTATGAAATATGCATTTTACTTCAAAAATAGAAATACCTTAAGAGCTGAGCTTTTGTTTTCACCTTTGATTCAATGGTGACAAACTTTTTTTCTGATGTCGTGAAATTGTTTCTTTAGTTAAAAACAGCGTATTAAGATCAAAACATCTGATCTGGGACATGTGGACAGCGGTATGAGAAAATAAGGAGATAATATATCAAAATTTTGTGTTTGTTGCGGCAAACAATGTTTTATGCGAACCTCTGTCCTTCTGACCTTTTCATTAAATGGAAGAGACGGGGATTTCATACGGTGATAGTGATCAACAGAAACATTTACAGTGATTGAATCTCACAGTGTGGAGGGAGGGTTTGATACCATGCAGTGTTTTGCCTCTTTTTGTATTAATTTAATTGTGACATAGTCTTATGCTGCTCTGCACCTGTCATTCTGATCACAGGCTGATAACTGTGCCAATTCAATTGTTCTTTAGGTATGTGGAATGTAATTCCAGATTTTCGAGCGGTTGTGTGAACCACAGAATATCCTGAAACTACGTCGGGAGCTGCATTGAAAGGTGCATATCAATACAAGCGTATCACATTCCTACTTCTTAACACTGCAAATAATAATAATAATAATAATGATAATCAGTATTTTGTCTTGTTTTCCTGTAAAAATTAAACATTCTTAAAACAAGGTTCATTTTTTTGGAGAAAGCAATTCAGTAGACTTGAAAATACATAAAACATTTCTTAGCAAATGTAATATTTAAAATAATAAATATTAAATTTGATTTATTTAATATGCTAAGCTTTGCCAAAATAAATGTAGTTGCTTTATTTACCAAAATGTACAGTATTGTTTAAAACTTAATTAAACTTACATATTTTAATTATTATAATAATTATTTTTCATACATTTACTTTATTTCGCAATCATTCCTAATTCATAATATGTACACCATTGTGAGATTCCTAAATTCAATTTAATGGAAATTTGTCAGTTCAACCAAATATGAAAGTTTGCTAAAAATGTACACACTGTCATGTCATCCAAGATGTAGAAGATCTCTTCATGGAAACAGATTTGGAGAAATTTAGCTTTACATCACTTGCTTACCAATGGCTCTGGAGCTGTGTGGATTACTTGTGGATTATTGTGATGTTTTTATCAGTTGTTTGGACTCTCATTGTGACGGCACCCATTCACTGCAGAGGATCCACTAGTGAGCAAGTGATGTGATGCTACATTTCTCCAAATCTGATGAAGAAACAAACTCATCTTCATCTTGAATGGCCTGAGAGTACATTTTGGGTAAAAAAACATTTTTTTAAACATGTATCTTTAATTTATTTTTTTCTTGTTTTAAGCATACACCTCTCTAAATTTGGGCTAATTATGCCTTTTTTTTTTTTACTGTTATAATTAAGTTATAGTATAATTAAGTTATAAATAAATCAAATTCGATATGTATTATCAAGTAAATTCATTTTCTTTTTTTCTTTTAGGATGTTTAGATGTTTTTGCTGGAAAACAAGAAAATTCAAGATTATTTTAAGTTTTTTTTTTTTTTGCAGTTGCAACAAGTAAATTAGTAATGTGTGCCACAATAAAGCGCTCCCTGTTCATATCTCCCTGAGGGTTTTGTAGCCAGCACATAATATTTGTAGTCTCCATTGATTGCCATCGTTGGGTGGAGTGTGCTAGATCAAACTGCTGTTTACATGGAGAGACGGACAGCGAGAAACGGTGAAGAAAAATTTGGATGCATTTATTGCACAGCTCATAGCTTTTACTGATTGAAGCTGTATCCTGCCTGCTGTGAAAATAAGACAAAGAAAAAAAAAACATTTTATATTATTGAGGAAAATATTGAATCTGTTAAAGATGGCACATGCCGGGGCCCATTCAGATCAATATTACTGTCTAGTGTTAGATGTGTATTTACCTTATACAGCTGTACTCCTATAAATATGGTTTAATGTATTATTGATAGTTTCAAAGACTAAGTGATCAAATATTTTTATGAAATGCAACAGTACGGATATAATAAATTTTGCTAAAATCTTGTTTACCTGTATGATATTCTGATATACTGTTAAATAAACTCTTGACAAGTTCTAAAGTTAATTTTATAGCTCTCATTATACACTGTCTGGTTCTCGGAATGTGAGCATTTATACATTTAGATAGATCGATAGATAGATGGATGGATGGATAGATAATTTCATGTCCAGTTGGTGCAAGTTGTCACACAAAAAAGGTATACAGTTGTTTAATTAATTTAATTAATTAATTTTTAGTCTTTTATTTGAAGCTGAGACTTTAAAGTATGTACTGTGAATATTTACTGGAGTGAAGTGTGTCAACTAGCCCCGGTCTCCTCTTCAAGTTGTCCTCCAAACCACAAGGTGGTGCATTATACTACAAACAATATGAGAAAAACATTCAATGAAGAAGTTAAGAACATTCTTTATGGAATATTCGGAATCAAACGAACCCAAAACTGCATAATAATGTCTGAAAAGCATAGAAACCTTCCTCCCTGGATGGTGAAATCTGACGTTCAAAGAAGCAAAGACAATGAAGCGGTGATAAAGAAAACGCGTGGTGAAACAACAAAAAGGATAGCGAAGAAGCGGCTCAAAAGGTAGAAACTGCTTTAAGAACTATCATTTATTCAAAACGTTAACGTATTGGATGTATTCATGAAAAAAAAAAGTTTATGCCTTACAATGTCGTTCACAGTGTCGTCAAGTATTGGATGAACGAGCACGAGCTCGTGGAAACCGCGCTCAGCCTTTCGAAGGATAAGGTAAAAGGATTTCCATTATCGTAAATGACTTGTCTTCTTTTTAAACCGTTATTTATGCCACATAATGCAGACTTATTATTATTTCTGTCATGAATCGTAGGCATGTGCTAAAGATGCAATGCAAGCCCCAGAGGAGCTAAGGATCATTCCGGAGACGGATGAAGACACGTCAGACTCGGATGTGCAGGACAGAACAAATGTTTCAAACATTGCAGAGCAGGAGACTGTGCCATATGGAAACTGCATGGAAGAAAGTGCCAGAACAAAACCAGACTGCCATCTGAAACCTCCTTCTGATGGTTCAGGAGCTTCTGAGAAGCATGATGTGGATGATGAGGCTCTTGAACTTGTTAGAGAGATTTTTTTCAAATAATTTAAACCTGACGTGAAACAGTGCTCGCTAACATAATTTTACCAAATAGTATTTAAAGAGATACTTCATCATGTAGTCATCCTCATGCCATTGCAAACCTGCCCGTTTGTCTTCTGTGTAGCACAAAACGTAATATTTTGAAGAATGGCTTGGTCACTCTTTTCCATGCAGTTACAGCGAATGCCAGTGGACTGCAGCTTTCAGCCTTCAAAAAGGACCAAAAATTGGCGTAATTACGCTCTTATGTGTTTTTTTTAATTTTTTATTCTATTTGAAGCTTGACAACTTCATAATGAATTAGTAATTATTATTGTATGGAAAATGAATATTATTCAAAATTTCTCTTTTGTGTTCCCTAGAGCAAAGAAAGTAATTTGGGTTTGGGACGACATGAGGGTGAGTAAATTGTTTTTGGTGGATTATCTCTTTTTACTTTACTTTTGTTTCTTTTTTTATATTGCAGCAAGCACTGCTTTTCTTCAGGGAATGAAAATCTAGTTATGATTTGTATGGGTTTTTTGTACTGTTGGTTGATGCCTGAACAAAGGTGATTTCTGATTTGTTTTCTAAACCAGCTGCTCTAGTAACTGTCGTTTGCACGCTTGCACTTTCTAGAGTCCTATGGGAAAGACAGCAACAACAAAGAACAAATGAGAATGTTCAATGACATGTAAGAATATATTGTATATTTATTCATTTTAATAAAAAAAAAAGAACCCTCAGATTTTTAGTGATTGGTACTTCGAGAGGCGTCTATTGTAAGAGTTTACAGTGTCTCAGGACAAGCTGTCAAATATGGAATCAAGATTTTATTTTGCAGCTCGGGAGACAAGAACAGACACATGGTGATGCTTAAAAACGGATATCACAGGTGTGCAGGTGCATACGAAACTCTTTTTATTTGGACTCTTAGGAGACACACTGAATAATAAGCAAATAAAACATCCCGAATCTGGAGAGTGTCATGTTAAAATTCACAAATTGAGTAAAATACACCTACAGGATACGTGAGTGTAATTTAAAAAAGGGAAATTTCCTTCTGATTTAACTATTACAGGGACCTTAATTTACCTTAATGGAACTAGAAAAAGTTTTGGCACCAGAAAATACGTATCAACGGTGTGATCTGTAATCATGCAAAAGTAATGTGGGAAATGATTTGCATCAGAAAGAATGCTTAAATGACTTATTTAACACTATCTCCCTTATAATTCAATCATTCAACCAAATACAATCATGATTGCATTATAATGGACCCTCGGATGTAATTTATCAATAATATACACGATTTTTTGAAATGCACATGGATGCTAAATAATCATACCTTCCTGAGGTGGAGATCTCGGATCTGGTTGGGGCCAATCACGCCAAACATCCCAACCAGATCTTAATACTGTCATGATGTGTTGTGTCTGAACGGTTCCTGATGCTACTTCATCTTTTATGGTTGTATTAAAGTCACTTTAACTAAAACTAAATTGTCTGATATTCAGATTTAGACCTGCGCTTTTTTAAAAGGGAGTATTCATCCAAGCAAAGACAATCAAGTTATCTTGCATTTAGAAAAATACAATTTGTCTTCATGAGTGCAATAATAATAACTGACAAGCTTTTTGCAAGAATCCTTTTCTATAACGACTGCACTTTTTTAAAAAGCTGTCCACTAATTTCAATTCACCAAAATCATTTTTGCACCAAACAAGATTTTCTGGGGAGGTACAATCTATTCATTTATGAATTTATGCCAGTGTAAAAGTTATTGTGTCAGTGCTTACAGATCTCTACAGTACCACAAATGACAACCAACCTCAATATCATGTATTAACAGAAACCTGAAACTTACAGTTGTGACTGAAAAGTGACTGAAATGAGCTTTAAATGTTGTGAAGGAGGAAAGGCCAGCTAGTGCTCAGCGTTCTCAGAAAGGAGAGGTGACCGGCTGTTCACATGGCCATCAAAAACACTCATCTAAAGACAAAAGACAACAGGAGTATCAGTGCTCAGTTCCAAAAAATGTAGAAATGAAGCACAAAAAACAACAACTCCTACTTACACTCTTCGGTTTATAAACCCCCAGTTTAAAACGACAGCAGACCACATCTACGCAGAAGCCAACCAGACCGTGCAACATGCCTGCAGAAACAAATCGCAATCATTGAATCTTTTCAAATTAGATTTTTTTTTTTTGGAAATATTCTCATTTACCTGTTGTTGAGAAAATGCCTCCTATGATGCCACAGAGCCGCACGAGGAACTGCCAAAAGGGCATGTGCTGCTCAGTCACCTTCACCATCAGTGAGCTGATGTCATACTTCATAAAGATCCCAGAAACCCCATGACTCCCCACTGCGTGGTTAATCACTCGCTCCTAAAGCAAAGAGAATCCAAACGTGGCATCAGTGATCATCCTTGGGCAGTCATGGATACACAATGTACTTTACAAAGATAACTTTTTAAAATAGAACTTTGTAAAATGTAGCAAATCGTGTCAGTTTTAAATATAACTTTAATTTAAAGGGGTCATATGATGCAATTTCAAATTTTCCTTTCTCTTTGGAGTGTTACAAGATGTTCGTGCATGGATAAGATCCCTAAAGTTGCAAAGACTAAAGTCTCAAATCCAAAGAGATATTTTTTATGAAAGTTAAGACTTGTCCACGCCCTCCTAAAACGCCTCGTTTAAACACGCCCCCACATGTCTACGTCACTGTGTGGGAAGATTTGCATAACGCCGCCCAAATGTTCACGCAAAGAAAGAAGGCATAACTTTTATTCTCGCTGTAGTATTGTTGCATCTATAGTATTGTAAGCCCGCCGTTCTCAAGCCAGCCCGCCGCCGCTCACTCAAGCCTGCCGTGTGTTTCGTTGTGAAAGCGAAACTACTTTGTTTGGCCTTCCAAAAGAGGACAAGACTAGAAATCAGTGGTTAAGTTGTATTTACAACACTGTTCCAGAACACTTCAACCCAAATATTCAGATGTGTGCAGCGCATTTTATGGAGGACTGTTTCCTGATCCTGGTAGAGTAGACTACAATGCCGGCTGTTCTGACTCACAGACTGTAAGTACGTTTTCATATTTAAAGAATTTGCCACTGACGATTCAAATGCGCGTTTTGAGCAGTGTAGAGTAGCACTTGTTGTTTGTCGTTTCTCCGATCACAAATGCAGACATGGTTTTATGTTTACGCGGCGTGATACGCAACACAACGCGTAAAAAGACAGTATAAGTCCATTATAATCCGTAATTATGTCCCCACTGAATGCAACAAATGCCTTGCTTATAATGGGTTTTTTAAAGTTTTTGTCTCGTCGCTCCATCACAGTAAAGCCGCCTTTCCACTATCTCCGACAAGCGACAGACCGGAAGTCATTCATTACTAATGGAGAGTAGTGCGGGAGCTGCGTGGATTTCCGATCATATGCGTATGCGGAAAATTCGGATCCGATTTGAGCTGCGGATGCGTTAAAATATTTTAACTTCTGCGGCTAGACCGTATGCGACCAGCCGACCGGATGTGATGTATTCTATTATAAACTATGAGTGTAAGGTTAGAATTACCAATATTTTGTTCACTTTACCATTATTCTTTAAACACTATTTCTGTAAAATGGTGCTTTAAAATAATTATGGCAGAAATAATTATTTTATAATTATTAAATCATTATTTACAATGATTAGCCCCATAAAACCTACTGTTTTTATTTTGGGGGTCATTTGTGATGATACATTCATACATCAATCATTCAAATCATTAATTTTACCATGGTGAATATGCCGAGGTAAAGGTTGCTGCACGACCAGTTTAAAAGTACTGTGTGACTGCCACTAGGGGGAGAAATGCGACAGGGGTGTCCGAATGTCGTGTGCAGTGGAAAGGCGGCTTAACATTTCCGTCTCAGCTTGAGGTATTCGGCCAATCACAACGCACTGGATAGCTGGCCAATCAGAGCACACCGCACTTTTCAGACCGATGAGCTTTGTAAAAATTGACGCGTTTCAGAAAGGCAGGGCATAGAGGACAAACGATAATGTACAGTACCTTAAACCGCATAAACACATTGCATTACACCAAATACACAAAATAATGTTCTTTTTAGCAACATCATATGACCCCTTTAAACTACAGATGGTTATGAATATATATTTAAAGCTGTCTGTACCCGCTCAGTGACGGAATACTGGTGTGTGTCCGCTGACACCTTGTACGTCTGCAGTTTTGTGGGCACAATGGTAATAAAGTACTGGAACATTTGATTATCTAGCAGACAAAAAAGGAAGACATTTTTTTTTATAGTCAGCCTCATCAGAAATGGAACTTTTTGCTGATTGTTTTTTTTTTTTTATGCTGATGTAATATAATTTGAATTAGAAAAATCAGACCAATAATTTACAAAAATAACTGAACTGAGCTTTTTATTTAAATATTATAATTTAAATGTATTATTTATATATTTGTACATTTAAATTGTATTACCAGCATGAATATATATTTATGCCGATATCATTTTTTAAGATAATTTAATTACAAAAATGCTTTCAGATTTAAGATTTAACAGTATAATTTAATATAATTTTAATTATCTTAATATTTTGTTATATATTATTTATATATAAATTGTATTATCAGGATAAATATATATTTATGGTGATAATATAATTTGTAATCAAAAAATATGATTGATTATTGAAGATAATTGAATTAGAGAAACGCAAAAATGCTCTCAAACTTCTGTATTTTAGTGTATTATGTGTGTGTGTGTGTGTGTGTGTGTGTATGTGAAAATTTGATTTGAATTAGAAAAATGCATAACACATACACACACACTTATTTCCTTAAATATTGATAAATGTTTCAATTACTTACGATCTGCAGACACTTTTTCCGTGCCATCCAGTGGATTTAATATGCCCGGGATTTCCTCTCCAAAAGACAGGTGGTCTATCCGATGGGAGAAGTTGTATGCTGAAACATTAAACAGTCCTTATTAGCAAACTGACCTGTTAGACAAAAAATTTAAGGCACCATTTGCTTTTTTAGTGGAACAGATGTTGCCTTTGGGTCTGGATTTAAAAGCACTAGATACGTTTGGCATAGAATGAGCCATTCAGATAATATCAATAGAATCAAAGCACTTTATTCTAGAACATTGCTATGCTAGGTTTGAAGAAGCTCTTCAGCTCACTCTCATGGCTGACCAGGGCCGCTAGATGAGCATGACCTCGAGGGTGTGGGATGGCCCTGAAATGAACATGAAGTAAGAAAATTCAGAGAAGATATCCCAACCCAGACTTCCCAACTGACACACATTTGAACTCTAAAAGTAGGTCCGCAGTACTTAAAAACAACTTTTACTGGCGTTAAGATATAATTGGATGCAATAAACAGGATGAAAGGAGACATACTTGCCAACAGTGATGTGGAAATTTCCTGCTACTTTAGTGACATAGAGGTGTCCGTGTATCCGGCAGGCGTTTAGAGGCTGAGTGGGATCATCTTCCCTACAGGAAGTGAATGGAAAACGACATACTCCATTAGAAATGACTACTATATTAGCACGATTCTTGTTTGACGTGGTGTAATATGTTCCCGTACAGGTGTCATGTGTTCTGACCTGGGTGGGAGAGCAGTGGGGGCACCTTTCATGACGTTCTTAAACAAAACATCCTGGAGTGAATGTTCCTCACGCAGACGGTTCTGAATGAGCAAAAGTGTCCTGATGGACACAATACCATAACAGTTAGGATTTTTCTTTATAAAACGGGTAGTTCCAGTGACGGTCCTTGATTCTGATTGGTTGAGCCGCGTTCAAAGCTGTTGTAACTTACTCTACAAACATACACCTTTGTTTACGTTTGTGTGTTGCTCGGCAACCACAACCGTTTCTAAAGAACTACATTGTTTGGCGGAAGAAAAATGTTTTTATTAATATCATTACATTTATTTGCTTTGTTTTATTTTGTGAAACCTTGCTACATATATGGAATAACTGTTTTATAAAAGCAACAAGCCATAGTAAATATAAATTCACTGTAAACCACGGCTTCTTGGGGCTTATTGCTTTATTAAATAATCGCATCTTTATATATTATTGCAATTTAAATATTATTAATGATAATAATAATTAATTAAGAAAATATGATAATGATCATAATAATTAAGAAAATATGATAATCCTAATTTACCTGTGCCAGAGCCTCTGCTGAGGAGAAAGTTCAAAAATAACCTGCAGAAGAGTTGTAAAATATGTTATGGCACCACTTTAACAAGATTCTAGCAAATAAGTAACATTCAGCTACTCACAGGTTCATACTGAAGGCCATCAGATGCCACCATCGTCTCGGCTAGATCTAACACATCTGCTCCAACAACTGAAAAAAAAAAAACCCTGGCAATTACTGACAATTTTATGCTACAGTTTATTCAACATATTACTATAGTAAGATATACTTACATTGGCACCTCATGGCAACTGTGATATCAATATTAATTCGTAGTTTGCTGCAAGATGAAAATATAAACAAAATGTTAGTGTTTTTAATCATGTTATATATAATAACAAAATAGACCTAGTAAAATCACCTAGTAAAATCCTTATCCACTTCATACTCGTATTTCATCCATGTGTCTCGATATACAAAGAACTCAAAGAAGGCCAAGAGTGCCATGGCCGTGAAGGCCAACACAGACACTGAGGAAGAAAATTAAAAACAATATAATTTAATTTTTTCAATTCAGTACCACAGCTGTAATATTTGAGAAGAGTCAGAAAGGAAAATGTGCAATATTATCTACAGTAAATAACACCATACAAATAACTCACACACACATCACTGAGATACTATTATTTATTAATGTTTTTATATTTTATTTTAAATTTATATTTTCCACTATGTATATCTATATAGTATTTATTTACCTCCGATTTAGTTATTTTAGTACATCAAATGAATATATATCCTCCTGGGACCGGCACAGACTTTTGTCCTTTATAGAGGACATTATATTTTAGTGAATTTCTCTGAGACCACACATGCCACAGTTTTAAGTCTGGATGTCCTGTACAGAGCACATTCAGGGCTTTTTAGAGATATCAAATGTTTGGAGGTTTGATCATAAACACACCTTCTCCTTGGTGTTTAAATATTACTGATATTGACAGAATGATCAAATTTAGCACTCTTCGGGAAATATGATATTGTTTTGTAATTATTTTGTAATTATCATTTAAATCTGACTAATTTTAAACATTTTTTGTTGTAAATAAACCTCTCAGAAAAATGTTATGGGGTTTAAAATCGGAATGAGGTTTTGTTACAAAACAAGGCATAATTTTCATACATGTCTCCTGTAGAGGACACCAGGACAAACATCATGTTAATCAGGCATTTTGGGGAAACAATAGGGAAATAAATTACAGATGATATTCCTATGAAATATGAGATATTCTAATGAAAAAGTTATTACTCCCATTATTTTTCATTATGGTTTTCCCCAAGAATACATTAATATGCAAATTAGATGCAGTGTATAGAGATGCATTGTATAGAATGGGAATATCAATTTATGACATTTGGCCATTTTACGCACATATTCCATAAAGTACAGTAGTATATCAAATCATTCTGTTATATATTTCATAACATACTTGAGAATCATCTTTGTACAAAGTTTGGTTAAAAATAGCCTGAAACCTAAAAACCGATTGGTGATTGAAAAAAATAAAACATTGTTTTTGCCTATACATGCCTTTTCATGTCTATTTATTTTGTTGAATAACTTAACATCCTCCATTTGTTTCTTATGCTCCAGCCAATGTAATGAGAAAAAAAACAACAAAATTCACAAAATATTTTTTATGGTTCTTAGGAGGATATGGCAAATGAAATCTCAGCTCATCTCACCAGTTCCTCCACTGGCTGTTGTCTCCACATAACTCTCAGGAACCTTGGGAAAAGCATCCAACTCCTTTACAAAGTTCAGGGCTTTTTTTCTGTTCAGCCTCCTCATCGTCACAGCAGTTGGCTGTTATCTTCCTCATGAATTTAGGCTGCGGTTCATCATTTATTGATAAATCAAGGTGAGTTGCACAATTATATACATTTGTGAGCAGTAGCTACATCAACTGTCTATGTTATTAGCCCAATGCTAAATATGCGAAATGTTTAAGCACATGAGCTAGGACGTAGACCTATTTTGACTGTAAACAGTTTTTAAAGAGTATTTTCTAACCATTCGTCTGTGAATGCTCAGTTGTCTATGGTTACTGTTAGCCATTGCTAGCCGTGCACTTGTCTGGCTTGCTATTTTACTTACTTTGTGTTCTACCTACCTTGAAATCCTATTTTAAATGGCACATTGTGGTTTCTGCAATTTTCAAATAAATAATCTCCTTTTACAATGAGCGTTTAATGAAATAACGGACAGAAATGCAGGGCACTCGCGAGAGGGAAGCTGATGTGTTGTAGTCGCACGCTTCCGGTCTGGTGGATTATGGGATATGTAGTCATCAAAATACGGGGGAAAATGAGTACTAGCTTACTACTCGTACTATTTCTGTTATATCTTTGTTGTAGAAATAGTACGAGTTTAGAGTTCAGAATAATCCAAATCCAAGCAAACAGAGTCTAATTAAAAGACTCACATTGTGCACTATGAGAAAGCTTTTATTTAATGACATTTTTTTCCTGAATTCAGAAATAATACTAAATAATAACTAGTGCGGTTCTGAACATGAAAATTTCACAACACAAGGTAACCATGTCTGTTTTTAAATGTATCCGTACAACTTTTTTTGTCTGCAAAAAGTAGGCTAGTTTGCATTATTTTTCCAGGCCATTACCATAGCGGTCACTTAAATATATAAAGCTAGAACAGAAAACATGAAATTTAAATAACATTTAACAACAGTACCAAATTAGTAGCACTAAAAACATTTTCGCATAATAAACCTTAAGCTGTAGGCTTGCATCACCGTACTTTTAAGTGGCATCTGTATGTAGGACACATAAATCTAAATGTCAGCTGAATCCGGCCCCTCGTCCCGTAACACTGGCTGTTCATGGCTGTCAGAGGTTGGTGTGCCGGTGTTCTCTTGAGAGGGGTCTTCAGAACAGCAGCTAATGGTGGGCGATATCACATCAGGGCTTGTGTCACATGACTCCGTGCTCTGTTCGGACGTTGCAGCAGTAGTAGTGATGGTGGTGGCCACGCTGGGAGGAATGGGGTCAAATTCATCATCATCATCATCCTCCAGGTTGGAACATTCATTGATGTCTGTTGCAAACAAAGTGGTTTGATTACACAACTTGAGCAAAACTGGTACAAAATAAGGAAGGCACAATGTATTTTGTATTATGCACGACCATTCAAAAGTGTCACATGATCATTCTAATATGCTCAAGAAACATTTCTTATTATTATCAATGCTGAAAACAGCTGTGCTGCTTAATATTTTTGTTGAAACTCTGATACATTTTTCCAGGAGTCTTTGTTGAATAGAACGTTCAAAAGAACTGCATCTATTTGAAATAGAAATCTACTGTAACATTATTCATTTCTTTACTGTCACTTTTGATCAATTTAATGCATCCTTGCAGAATAAGTATTAATGAAGTATTGATTTTAAAAAAATCTTACTGACCCCCAAACTTTTGAACTGTAGTGTACATTAGTGATTTTTTTTTTATATCGGTAAATATTGGATATTCAATTGTGGATGCTCATTTTTTGTTTTTAGAAACTAAAAAGGATAATGCTAGATTATTATTTTTTTTACTTAAGATTTAATCATTTTGTGATTAGTCTTTCCTAGGTGCCACAATATTGTTTTAACATGGACAAAAACTACTGATTTTTATTTTTACATTTTATTTATTTATTTTGCCAAAACAGTAGTTTAATCGTAGTGCATCCCAATACAAAATACTGCATTATAACTTACTGCTGAAGGCCTCTGGATATTGTTTCGCAACCTTGCCTTTTAAGGTCCTGGGGAAACACAAATTATATTATAGCATAGGAAATAACTAATGTTACACAATAAATTGTAATATTATGCTTAACAATCATTGTTTGCATTTTCAAACTTCCATGACAAGCTTGAATGTGTTAATCTTATCATACACTTGCTTGTAATGGAGGGAGAAGTGTTCATGTCAGATCTTAGCTTTCCCACATCATCATAATTAATGTCTTGAGTTGTGAATATAATACCTTATTCGTCTGAAAATGCTGTCCAAGTCTTTCTTCATCTCTATTAAAGTGCGGGTGTGCATTAGAAAGTGTTCATTCATCTGTTGTAAGCGCACATTGGACAGTCCGTTGAAGTTGATCAGCATCTCATTGGTCTTCTCAAACCGGTCCAGCCTGGAATACATAAATACATGCAGCAAAATCAGGATAAAAGCATAAAAATGCTGCCTAGGCAGGTCACTAGATAGGGAAACTCACATGTGTCTCTGAGCTTGAATGATGGCGTTCACGTCTTCAGAGTTAACCATACTGAGCATTCTGTTACAGAATATTCCCGATGCTGTGGGCTCCATGATGAGGCTTTTCATAAAACACAAGATATTAGCGTTAATCATGAATCAAGTCAATAATGAACCGATTGATACAAGTCACGTTATAGTCGCTTACGTTGTAAAATATTCACTGACTAGTTTGCGTCTGACTTGGTTTTTATTCAAAAACGTCTTCATCAGATGCACACTTGGATGAGGCTTTGACGCAAACGCATACACCTTTTATTATACTTGTAAAACGATTAAAAAAAATGACCGCACCGAAAAGCAGTCAGACATTTTTGTTGTGATGTTGTCATATGATCACATGAGAGTGGCGTAACTCGGGAGGCGGGATCACGGAGATTTTGTAAGCGTTGATTGGCTTTTGATTTTAATATTTATTTTGAATTATTGATTAATTTTATTTTATATTAAAGAATAAATAAAAATTTATCGAAAAATAAATAACGCACGAATTATTTTTTACAACATTTTTAAACTGAATTCTTTTTACCACATTTTTAAACATTACATTTTGAATGCTAGATATGTTTTTTACATAAAACAATGCATGCCTTTTTTAATCATTCTATAATGACAAATATTATGTGTCACATGAGGATAAATGGTTCATAATAGTATCATATATATTGCATATTTGATGCATATATTATATATTTTATATATTTAATATTAAATAATAATTATAATTAGAAATGTTAATAATTCCAATTTTATTTTATATGAAATAATAATTGATAATGACTATTTCAGGTAAAACAATGTGTCACTTGAAGAGGATAAATAGTTCACTTTTGAAATGTAATATTTATTTATTTATTCAGCACCACAATAAAGCAATATCACTTCAAATCAAATCTTGTATGAGTCTCTGGCTCGAGGGCCAGTTGTGTTGAGTCCTGCTTCACATTTGTTCAAACAAACACTGTGCTGGCGCTGGTTGTCACCTCTCAGACAGCCCCGAAGGCATCTCAGATTCTGCTGGAGCTTGTGGGAAATGTCATGGTGAGTGGGCTTCATGATCATTTGTTTCTACCAGACATGTGCTGAATCCTCTTCTGCCTTTAACCTTAACAGATAACACTAACTTCTCAAAATGTCACGCATAGCTAATGAAAATGAGAACACCTCTGCACCAGTCCCCACCTCCAGTGTGTTACAATGCTATTTTAGCATTTGATGTTGGCTTTATGTTATAATTAACACTAATATATATGTCAATTAAAAATGTATTTCCTTTAAAAATGTAAACAAAAACTCCTGGTGGTGAATATTGCTTAATTTAATAATAATAATAATAATAATATTTAATTAGAAAGTATAAATATTATTATTATTAATTAGTCATTCTAAAAAATAATTTAATTTAAAAAAATTATATAAATAAAAATTAGCAAAAATAATATTATAAATATGAATTAATATTAATAATTGTTTAATTTAAGATGTTTATGTTTACACCACTGCCTGCATCTCAATGTAGTTCCGCGGTTGTCCAGTACGTGGCAGTAAACCGATTCAAAACGGATTCTCGCTTAGTGAATCATTATAGAAGAAGCCGTTCACGCATTCGAGCTATTCTGAAGAGTTAATAAAAAATATATCTCAGTATACCAGTTATTCGTATTATTTTACGGATTTACTCTTGACAACAGGTGAGGAACTAATTTTACTAGTTCTATTTGACCGACGACGAAAAAAGTCGCTTATAAAGCAGTTGCGTCCTGTACATCGAGCTGGCTAACATTAGCATCTTCCTATCTAACGTTCAATGCAGGACTTATCGCTCCATAATATGAGAGATATATCTTCATATTAATGGTTTTCTCTACCAATAACTCTTTAAGAGCCGTGTTTTAATGTAAAAGTGTCATAAAAAACACAACACGTCTTTTTGATCTCATTTCAGCTGGTCAGAATGGCATCAGACTGGATTGGCTGTCTTGTTTCAATCCACTGTGGACCAACTCTGGGAGTTTATCAAGGAGAAGTGTCTTCAGTAGATCAGACCAGCCAGACCATCTCTCTCAGACTTCCCTTCCACAATGGAGTCAAGTGCACTGTGCCTGAGGTCACCTTCAGGTGAATAATAAAATGAAGATCCTAAAAGGGTCACTGTCTGACATTGTAGTGTCTGTTTTTGATTCTTTATGAATGATTTTAAGACAGACCATCTCATCTCATTGGTCATATTCTACAAAGTCAAAGTATTATGTTATTAAACATTCTTGATACAACAATTTAATACAGGGTAATCAGAATTTGGATACCAAGTACTATTGTTGACTATATTAAAACTATATTAAAAAACAATATTATTTCTAATCCACAGTGCCATGGACATTAAAGATATAAAAATCCTAGAAATCCGTAAGAGCTCAACTGAAGTCCCAAAGCAGAATGGTCCAGACTCCAGCTCCACATTGACTCCACATGGCGGACGCAAGGATAAGGGTGGTGGCGCACCGGGCAATAGCGCTCCTCTGATGGTACCTAACAAAACGGAACCTAAAACGCAGGAAGGAGGGGTGTCTCCAGTGCCACACTACTCAAAGAGTTATGGTGAACGTCACATGGACATGGCTGTCCAAAGTAAAGGCTTTAGACGAAGACACAACTCCTGTGAGTCTCCTGTGTCATTGGATTTTGAATCTAATCTTTCAGATTTTAACTTTTTTTATATATATATGTTTATGTATTTGTATTAGAGCTGCAAAATTTATGGATTTTCCAGATAAAATTGCAATTGCGATTTAAAATGCAATTAAAAGAAGTATTCCAGGTTTACTATGCTTGTTTGTAGGGCTGCACAATTTGGTCCAAATTTTGTTATATATCAGTTTGGTTATTAAATAATAATACTAATAATAAATACAAATATATAAAATATTTAGAAACAAATTAGGGCTGGACAATAATTCAATATCAATATGTATCGCGGTATAATTTTTTTCAATAACGGTGATATGATTTTTAAACACATTTCCGATATTTCGATAAATACAATAACAAAAAAGAAATATTACTATTATATTTCACTGTCAAAAAGTATTATCCATCACAACTGTAAAATTAATATAAAAGAAGTTCATATCAATGTAAAATGCCTATAGTAACTATTGTGTGAGTATACATACTATATATATATATATATATATATATATATACATACACATATATAGCTTTGTAGGATTGTGAAATTGAGCAGGTAGAGATTTAAAAGTAAAAGTAGTGTACAGATAATTCAAATATTTTTTTACTCAATATTATTTTACAGCATTTGCAGTATTACCATTCCAATTTGTTTTAATATTTCTATTTCAAAATCACTATAAAATCATGATAATTATTAATTTAGTCTTGTTAAATTGATTAAAAACAGTGGAAATGTGGCCTATGAAAACTAAAAAGTGGAAAGATTTTGGAGTGGAAAACTAATGCCCACTTTTAACTGTTTCTAGGGTCGTCTAGTTGCAGAGGTCCAAATCAGGCCACACCAAAAAAGAATGGGCTGAAGAACGGAGGTCATATGAAGAATAAAGACGATGAATGTTTTGGAGATGGTATGGAAGATGTTCTCGATGAGGACTTTGATTTTGAGGGGAACCTGGCACTGTTCGACAAGGCTGCGGTGTTCTCGGAGATCGATTCGTCAGAACGGCGAGGCAGTGGTGCGAGATCTCGAGGTACGCCTGGAGAGCAAACGCCATCACGATACCGGCATGATGAGAACATCCTAGAGGCCAAACCCGTCGTCTACAGACAGATCACAGTTCCACAGAATGGAATGAAAGAATATAGCACTGGTAAGAATTTGACCTCATGATCTTTTTAGTAATTTATCTCAATTTGTCTTAATTCATGCCATTTCTCCCAGACTCAGGACTGGTGGTACCCAGCATCTCTTTCGAGTTGCACAAGCGTTTATTAGCTGCAGCAGAAAGTCATGGTCTCTCTCTGGAGCGCAGGCTTGAAATGACAGGTGTATGTGCGAGTCAGATGGCCCTCACGCTACTTGGAGGCCCGAACAGGTTTGTGGGGCTTTAAAAGAAATTGCATAATCAAAAATATCTTCAGCATGTCTGGTTATCATTGGTCTGGTTTTTCTCGTAGACTTACCCCAAAGAATGTGCATCAACGGCCCACGGTAGCCCTGCTGTGTGGACCACATGTCCAAGGTGCTCAGGGCATCAGCTGTGGCCGGCATTTGGCCAACCATGAAGTGGAGGTCATCCTTTTCCTGCCAAACTTCGTCAAGATGTTGGAGGCCATCACCAGCGAACTTGCACTCTTTGGGAAGACGGGAGGCAAACTGGTTTCTAATGTGAAAGGTGTGACACTAGATTTAACAGTCATTCATGATACAAGTCATGGCCTAATGGTTAGAGAGTCGGACTCGTAACCCGAAGGTTGTGGGTTCGAGGCTCGTACCGGCAGGGG